ATATATATATATTAAAGTTTATGTTTGATGTTAAATTTTATCCTACCGTTTGTGTTATTGACACTGTTCTTTTACTTTTACAGGAATTCCTACCACTGTACCTTCAGCCAATTCAGTTGTGACTACACACTATAATCAGTCATCGCCTAATTTCTTGTCCAATGGATTTCCGAACAATCAATTTTCACAAATAGGCAAGAACTTCACCTACAGTAATTCTTCACAGTCAGGGAAGAAGAAGAAATCAAGACAGCGCTGAAAACTGTTTTCATTGCAAAGTGTTTATAATTTCATTTTTTGGCGGGGGGTGGGGTGGGGGGCTTTGTGTATTATGTATAAATAAATCTTGATATTTTAAGATGATATGAATTTATTTGATTTTCAAATGAGAAGGAAAATTCGTAATTCTAAAGGCTAAGTTGAGGAGGTTCGTTTGACGATTTCACTTTAAGTTGTAAATTTCCATAAGCATAGTACACGTAGTGTGTTATTGAAACAGACAGTGTGGGCGTTAATCCTTAATTTTCAGCAAAGATACAGAGTGACTAGTAAAGTAACTGTTGTTGTATTCACAGTATTTAAAACCGCATGAGAGATACATCTTGTTGTCTATGATTACACTACATACACTATGCCTAGTCTTTGTGGAATGGTCTTTAGCGAAATTATTTCACATGTCAAATTGTTAATTTTAATTTCAGTCGCAAACGAGATTTACTTGATTCCATATAAGTTTGTTTATTAGATATATCACACAGTGAAACAGTTATTTACTGGATGACAAAGTTTCGAACAAAATATATTGTTCATGATCATTTCATCAATTATAACCACACAACTTCGAAACTCGAGTTTTATAGTTTTCTGTTTTCTCTCATATTTGTCGTCGTTGGGGTAGTAGAATTCTCCAGATGTCCGGCCGGACAGGTGTTGAATCATTTCTAGTACACGTGTTTGCAGTTGATTCGATGAACGAAGCTTCCGTTATCAATCTCTCCCTCCATTCACCCTGTTACATTAGATTTCAAAACTGTCATCCTATCCCATCCTATTGTATGGTTGTGTGTAATTGGAATGATTCACTACCTGTCCCAGATATCTGGAAAATTCTGCTACACCATCGACGACAAATAGGAGAGGACAAAGAAAACTACACAAATATAAACTAACAAGAAGCCTTCGTAACGACGGTGAACAGTGGTGGGCGACAATAGCGAAAGAGATGGGAAAAGCATCGGCGATTGGTAACACCAGACAACTATTTATGCTTATCAATGAAACAGGTGGTAAAACGTAAATGATAAGTGAAACAATCTCTGAGAAAAATGACACCATAGTTAGCTCCCAGGATAGACGAATGGAACGTTGGCAAGAACACTTTGAGGAGCAATTCAATTGGCCTACAGCCACGCTCAACTTACCGAACATCCAACACCTCCCTGAATGGGATATGGACACAGGTCCTCCGTCCCCAACTGAGGTTACTAAGGCTGCCACTAGTCTGAAACGAAGCAAAGCGGCAGAACCCGATGGAATGACTCCAGAGGTATATAAGTACGGTGGAGACAGTTTACTGTCTGTGTTAACTGAGGTACTAGGCAGCGTCTGGGAATCAGAGGAAGTCCCGTCGGGTTGGTGTAAGTCACTGATTATCTCGATATACAAGAAGGGAGACATGTCTTCCTGTGATAATCACAGGGGGATTAGCTTGACTAATATGGTATCTACAGTGCTAGGCTCGATAATGATGAGTAGACTAAGTGGTGCTCTGGAGGCACAAACACGAGAGAACCACACAGGCTTTAGATCAGGAAGACGGTGTATTGATCATATCTTCACCCTTCGACAGATTCTGGAACATAGGCATACTTACCGTTGGCGTCCAACAATCGTTATATTTCTTGACCTAAAGGTGGCATTCGATTCTGTCGACCGAGAGGTACTCTGGCGATGCTTGGCTGTAAAAGGAATGCCGAGAAAATACATTGCACTGATCAAGGCACTCTACTCGAACTCCTACTGCCAGGTGAGAGCTTACGGTGAGTTGTCATTTGAACTGGTGACAACTAGTTTCTATTCAATTTCATCATAGATGTACTAATGGAATCAACCCTAAGTGACTTCAGCGACTCAGGGATTGACTTGTTACCAGGTAGTAATCCTGTTGATTTAGAATATGTAGATGATATAGTCCTGCTACCTGGGTGAAGACGCTGAAAAAATGCAGTTTTTTGAACACCTTGACAGGCAACAATCTTCGAATGTTTGGCATGCGATTTGCTACCGTCAGTTGTGAGATGATGCTACTAGACTGGACTACGTCGACCCCTTGTTTAGAAATAGGGAGTGAAGTGATAGAGCACGTTGACCGCTTCACTTATTTGAGTGGGAAGTTGCATCAGCCAACACCTACTGGTTGATCGCTGACGAAATCTCACCACGGATATAGAATGTTCGTTTGGCATATGCTAACTGACGCCATCTCTGGATTAGACGTGATATCCGACTGACTGTCGACCAAAGGGCGTGTGTACTGCTCAGCAGTCCACTCCGTACTCCTTCACGGCTGTGAGTGAGACATGGCCATTGAAAGTGTAAGACATGAAAAGCCTGGCTAGCTGTCTCCGATCATAGGTGCCTGCGTTCTATCTCCCGTGTGAGGAATATTGAGGTTAAGCATCGAGTTTTAAGTGAGAAGGGGAAATTGATCGAAGAGGTTGTGAAGTTACATCGATCGAGATGGTTTGGACATGTGTTACGTAGGGTCTAAGAATCGGCTTCCTCGACGGGCTATGTTAGCTGACATAGGATCATTTTGGAAAGGAGCCAATGGTGGTCAAAACAAAACATGGCTTTATCAGTCAATGAAATCCACAACAGTTAGTTTAAGCCAGCCACGTAGGAGGGTGCAGACTTCTTGGTTGGGGTTTTAGGGATGGTAAAATCCAATAGCTGGGGAAAATTGGTGATATGGCTCAAAATCGCCGTTCTCAACTGCTAGCGCAGTTGACTTATAATATCCAAAACAGCTATATTCTTTTTCGATATTAATATTCTTTTTGCCTCATGTCTGTACTTTGCATTTCTTCTTACTTTCTCCTCTTGCTTCGTGTGCTTCATAGTGTGGCGACTCGAAATGCTGCACATCTGTGCAAAGTAGTATGTCGAAACCAGCCAGACAAACTGAAAATGCGATAAAGTATCTTGCAGTAAGGAATAAATGTTGTCATAAGATCTTCAAAACGATGAGGTTAAGTGTCTTGTCCATAAAATTTACTAATTCAGCAGGTGATCCGACAGCTACCTATACCTAACGCATGTAACTAGGCTCTTTATGGCAATGGAAGGAAATGTATATAATATGTTACAGAACTGATTTTTTAACCGTCACATATGATATATTTTATTGATCCACGTTTGTTGAGAGGGGTAATAACCACGGTTCGAACCCTCTGGGGTGAAATTCGGATATCTAGTTCAATGAGCCACAAAAGGAATTTTCTCTTTTCCTTAAACGCTGGTAGTTTAACTTAGCTGTAATCATATTTCACCCAGAAACTAATACCTTACTCAGTGTAATGCACAGTCGTAACCGCTTTACCTCTGATGGCATACTATTGCAACTGACTGCTAAGCCAATAGGGTCAGACTAAGATGGAGGAAGAACATAACCTTGGCAGAAATGCTCTAGTCTTTAGATAATTGACATCGTGATGCAGAGCACGAATTCCAGTTCAAATTAAACTGTCAGATCTCTTGGATGTGCTTCCAGTTTGTATAACGACTATTGCTTTAAACATAAATTTTATACAAACATTTGTAGTGTCACTTTAATTTCGTCAGTGTGGAGAATTGTTTGTTAATTCACTAATTCCAACAAAGTACCGATGAAGCTTTCAGAAAAGTAACACCATTTCATGAGAAACAAGATTAAAAGCTGGTAAGCGATCTTATAAGCAACTTCGAACTGAGGTTCAGTGGTTGTTCGAAAAATATACCTCTGTAACTTGTAGATAAGTAATAATGTCACCAAAGGATTGGTGGTCGTTCAATGGTAGAGAATGCCAGTCAACTGCACATACACATGCTCCGGGTTCGGCTCCTGGGGGACAAACTCTTAAATGTCACTGAACCTAATGAATCCGGAAAATGAAGGGAGGTTGGGTGTGAAAACAACAACACACTGCCACTGAAAATTCAACAGACTTGAAGCCCTATATACCACTCAGATCACATTGGAAATGTCAAGAAGTTTATTTATTCATCAGAAGGAGTTTCTTATCCTCTCAAACACTGCTTAGTAGAGACTAGTCTTTCTTTATCCTTTCTAAAAACACAAGTAGCCAAAAAGTCAACAGTCACTACGACAAAGCGTCCAATATGGCGGAAATTCCAATCAGTGGCAAAGATATTTAACAACAATAACTTAAAATACTTTCTTTTGCCCCCCGCCGTCCTACCCGACGATACCCAAAGGAAGTTGACAGTATCAGAAGGAAAACAATTTTTTATAGATGCAAAAAAATTTACTACACATTACCAACTGTTTTTTTTTTTGTTGTTGTTGAATATGAACGAAATAGTGATTTAATTGGAAAGGAAAAAAATAACACAAGACAATTGGGACCCGATAAGAGAGAGAGGTGAAAACCGCAAGGGAGTGGAGGAGTGGCGCGCACGGACGCACGCTAACAGATACATCCGGGAAAAATGTGGCAGAAAACAAAATAACAACAGAAATGTGTATTTGTGGTATATGGAAGAGGGAGAGAGAGAGATGGGGAGAAAGAAAGAAGATTTAGAGAAATAGGCCGCAGTCTGGAAAACGAGCGGAGTACAGACAGAGTGGAACACATATGAAGATAAAAATAAATTGACCTATATAGTTTATAAAACAAAAAAGGTCATTATTTCTGAGCAGTGATATTCTTTCCTTTCCTATGAACACAGATCCATTCATTTAGCCATCATCCAGTGAAACAAAGAAAAGGTTAGTGGGAGAAAAAAGACTTTACATACGAAAGTGGGGGGGGATAGTTGAGTTTCAGATACTTGTAACAACTAAAAGTAATATAAATAGAAAATAATAATAATAGTAACAACAAGAAATTTATACGTCCTGTTTTTTTTTGAATTTATTGAAAATTGAACATTGTTTTAATGTGTTTGTTTGTGTATATAAAAAAGCGCTTCAAACGAATTTTTTTTAGATAATAAATGGTTGAAATGGAAAACAATCTAAGAGAAGTGTGTATGTGTGTAGAAACATATAGATGGATGGATAGATGTATATGATGTATATGTATATATAGAGAAAGTGAAATACAACAAAAGAACACGACTTTTTGCATTTTTTTTCAGTATAAGACACATTCTTCTTTCATGTGTGCGTAGTAACAACAGCCCTCTCTCGTAACACACATCATCTCTATGACACATACACACATCACAGTAAATCCGTGCAGCTGCCGGTTTTTATCTTATTTTACTTTATTTTAATGAACATTATTGTTCAGTAGTAGAAAAAACAGAAAACAAAACAAAAAAATAACAGAAGAACAAGGCAAAAGGGGGGGAGCAGTGGTAATGGTGATGGTATGGTATTGGTGACAAAAACACACACGTGAGAAGAAGAATGATAAGAAAGTTGTGTATTTTCCTTTTAAAGCAGGCGAATTACGCCATCCCATAGCCTTCACTACATTCACGTATAGCCATCAACAGTCTTGATCTTAACTGTTCATAGCTTTCGTAGGCCGGTAATACAAGTGTATTAAAGCTATAAATGGAAAGTAAAAAAGACAAAAAAACGATTCAACATAAACAAATCTAATCGAAAAATCTGATTAAATTTCAGTGAGAAAAAAAATTGTAACAGGAAAGCAGGATGATGATGACGAAAGTGACGGAGATGAAGGTGGATATGTAATTATGGTTATTACATCCCACCTGAACACACCGACGAATATGGGCTATGCATGTCTAGATGTACAATATCAGGGGCATAGACCTTTCAAACATTCCCCTCCCCTTACCAGAGTGGAGAGGCAGCTTAGCTAGCTTGTTGATCATTTACGGTGATGAAACATCTTCCTACTATTACATCCCTATTGACATTAACAGTATCTCCTAACAGTTTAAATGACTACTATGGTATACTACATTATATTTATTTTTTAAAATTATTTTTGATTACAACTTGATTTCACACCGTACTATTTGGTAGAGGTATGAAATTTTCAACATGTAATATCGGTAGCCCAAATTTTGCAGGCCAACATTGATATCAGGTGTGCGTCGGCAGGGGGTCGAACCCCGGACCATGTGCATGGTCGGCGAGAGTCCTAACCACTGTGCCACCGACTCTTCAGTGTAGGAAACAGTATAGGACCACGGGTATAGACACACACCATTAACTGATATGTAAGTAACCTAATCGACACAGGATTAATACACTAATATGGTACACACAGATCATCGCATTTTCTTAGGGGCTCTTTTTCAAGTCAACAAAAAAGAGACTCGATGTGAGCATTATTGCCATAAGGCAGATTTATTATAGCCATTACATGTCAGTAAAATATGCTTCAGGTATCTGTAGACTTCCATCAACAGCTACCTTTGCTCCACATACTGAAGATCAAATGGCTGATCAGAAAGGATTAAAAATAAGGAAATTTAACAACTAACAACCAACCAATAACCCCCGTCGGTCAACAAATATGCGGAAAAGGACTACTCACTGTCTGTAAACAAGAAGCCACTTTATATACGACTACAATTCATGGGCGATATACCAAGCGAGATAATTACGAAGAAATTAAGAAAATCACTTCAAAGAACTTTTAATGCTGGCGAACTACACGTCTTATTCTCTACACGACCGATGGTGCTACCTCGACTGAAAGATGAAGTAGGTAGACTAGCCACTTCAAATTGTACCTACCAATTCAACTGCGCTTGTGGAGCGAGCTATATTGGCCGTTGCTCTAGGAACTTGATTTTTCGTGCTCGAGAACATCTCCCACTATGGCTGAGTAAAGGTGTAGTTAAAATTATTAACAGCTCAATATTAGACCATCTGGTGCAAACCGGTCACAAAGCCAGTGTAGAAGAATCCTTCTCTATAATCTACCGGGTGCCTAACAAATTACCAAAATCATCGAAGCACCGCTTGCTCCAAACAGCAGAGGCTATTGCAATTCGCCTCAAACAACCAGTGCTCTATGTTCAAAGGAAACAAGTCCAGCCCCTACTGCTGCCCTGGCCCTCAGCAGAAACTATAAACTCATGAATTTGTACTAATATCTTTCATAACTTTTCTGACATTCAGCTTATTTTATGTTGACGCTGTTCAGCTGTAATCTATCAATATTATTGATTCGATGTTATTTAAACAACATTAATGTCGTTCATAAGACTAATTCATTCATTCATTGTAATGTATATATAATTGTAGAACCTGATGATGAATTTATCGAAAAGAGTACTGTTTGTTCCGTGTCCATTCTTTTGAAAATATGCAGAAGGAAATAAAAGACGGATTCGATATACAATGAGATAATTGTTCAGTGAGATCAGACGACACGCCACACCCTCAAGTAGAACACCAGCAGGAAACAATAATTCCCGATGACTACACTGAGTTGTGTGAAGAGATGAAAGCTTATGCGCAATTGTGGAGTCAGCGAAAAATGGCAATGTGCTTCTGAAGCCCTATGTTCCATTCAGAATTCAAGAGGACAATAATCTGAGCAACTATTCCAGACTGCCAAAAATTCGACGTTAAGGATAAGAAATTAATTATGGAGAAGACCTACTCAACGTATGTTTTACTTTTGTCGGCATTCATCAGCAAGATGTAGCGCCAACAACCTTGGGAAAAGCCATGTATTATGTTGCTGTCACACCTCCACTAGGCTATTTAGTTCACAGCTCAATTCATGTACACAAATTAGTCACCAACTGGCATCTAATCCATATGCGATCAGAATTAGTAAAAACTAAAAAAAAACCTTCATAACTATTGATGAACCGAAGCCAGCTTTAGAGAGTCAGGCAAAAACTAAAGAGCACTGAGCAGTTCAGTCTTATTCGAGGGCTTCTAAACGGTATATCTTTGTCTTCTCGTTTCCCACTGTCTGACGCATAATCCAGTCCACCACAATTAGGAATAACATTGGTGATAATAAGCACCCTTATCTGAATCCTGTGTTTACTCCAAACGCCTCGCTGAGTTTTCCGTTGTGGATCACTTGACATGTGCCGTTGTCGTACAGCTGTTGAATAAGGTTGACGAATATTTGGGGTAAGCCGTAGTACTCGAGTAGTCTCCAAATTACTTCGCGGTCAACGCTGTTTATCGAAGGCCTTCTCAAAGTCTATAAAGTTGAGGTAGAGGTTAGATTGCCATTCCATGCTTTGTTCGATGATGATGCGTAGAGTTGAAATTTGGTCAGAACATGATTTGCCTTTCCTGAATCCAGCTTGTTCTGGTCGGAGTTCTGTAAACGGTATAACATCAGTCAAATACTGGGGGTTCAGACCCCACTCGAGATCGTCATTTTTTTATCGTTAAACAGCTCAATTAAGAAAAACTTGGTTCAATTAACACACACTACAGGGAGAAAGATTTCCTATGCATATTATTTTGTGACAAAAAGTAAAAAACAAAACAAACGAGAAACACTCACCAAGTATGCGCAGACGGTAAATGACTAGTACTTGATATAGCTGCTCGACTTATCTGGAATTTCGTCGCGCCATGCATTCCTTCCAAGTTTGTAAATCCACCCAGTGGGACTTTACTAGTGCCAGTAACAAACTGAAGAAAACGTGCTAAGTCCTCTTGATCAAATGATTCCAGTGCTTGCCAAAACCATTCAATCTGTGGTGAATTCGGTTGATACTTGGAGTAAACTGTATTCGCCTTCAAGTCAGATATGTCAATATTAGGTAGACCACTGATCAAAAGTTCTAATTCTTGTTCATTAAAGATACTAATCATACGTTTTGGAATGATATCATAGAAACCGCTTAAGAAAGCATCCAACTGCTGACGTATAGCACCAGTCATGCGTTCTTGACATACAAGACGAACATACTCCTTTTTGTTACTTTCAGTAACTGGTACATTTCGACCATTTTCAATAAGATCTCGGGTGTCAGTCTTTCCGAATTCATTTATCTGGGAAAGAAAACAAGAAGAATAATTTGAAGGTGAAATTAGGATCCATATACGAAACTGTGTATAGTAACATCTAGAGAATAGAGGTGAGGTGAACACATTTTTCGCCAGTCTTTTGTGTTCCGAGTGCCACATAGGGCTTCGGGCCTTTTCTCCTTTTTCCAGACTTGCTACGTGAGCTTCAAGGAGTGCATCGGTAGCTAAAAATTGAACTTCGAATCACCCGAATGCTTGGCAAGCATCCCAACTCTGAACCATACCGTCGCTAGACTAGATTATTACAGCGTTTTTCATCTTTTAAACCAAAATTCACTGATTGAGAGAGAGTTAGTGTGAATAACTAACTAAAAACCAGATAAGCCATTAGAAAATGACGCAAATCCACGTGTTTGACCAGATTGAGTGATTCTTTTGTCTCTAGACGACTACAGTTTACCTGACTGACAAGTCAGGAATTCAGTGCTTCAGCATTCTCGTAAATTATTGATTACTGCTTAGAAGAAGATGAAGACAAAAAAAAACATACAACTCTAAGAGGTTTTGGACGGCAGGCCTATGGTGATGAAAATTTCTACTGATTGGTGAAACGTGTGTAGTAGAATTACTAATACTAAAGACGTTTTCACCATTGTCTCTCTAAGAAAAGATTTGATGAGAATGACACCTAGACAATTGTCAAGTGATTCGGCCACGTGAAAGCCTAACACTCGTGAAGCAAGATAAAAAACAAAAAACAACTATACTAGAACAAATATAACTTAAACTAAGAAAATATTTATCATGTCACCTTTACTTGCTGATTTGATTTAATAAGAAACCTTTTGATGTTGTTTTTTTAGACTAGGTTTTCTAGTCCGACGTGTATGAAAATTTTAAAAGACCTTCAAAATAAAGACGATATGGTACGCATTGAATTCCACTATTGATCTGATATCTAAGTAATACACATTCATGTTCACTGGCTAACCACTAAAGATCAGATAGTAGGCCAGAAAGGATTACCAGCAAGGAACTCAGCACAGTGCGACGAACCCACCAACTAAGAACCGACTGCCCAACAAATATGCAAAATGAAATGCAGATGGGTCGGTCACATATTGAGGAAATCACCGAGTGTGACATGCCATGCAAGGCAGATATCTTCGAGTGAAAGCCAAGTGGGAAACGATGAGTTGGGGGGACATCTAAAGGTAACACATAGGCGATTGTGTGTGTGTGTGTGTGTTCTCAGGAAATGAAGGCTTATGAGCAATTATTCAACCAGCTAAGAAGGACCTCAGAGAACAGGAAAAATGGAGATGCACTGCTGAAGCCGTATAATATTCCACTCGGAGTCCAAGGGAAACAATAGATAGTTTGGTTCATTCATGTCAGTAAAAAGTGCAGCAATTGTGGAATAGAGTAATTTAGTGGAAAACAACAAGAGGAGACGATCGCAAAAGTAACAAATGATGCGCTTAATTCTTGAAGTACAAAAAATTAAAGAAACTGATATTTTGTTTTTGTAATTACTTAACCCAACATGAAAAATACAACAAACTGGTTGACTGAAATATATAAAAAAAGTACCGTTCGACTGCTGTTTTCGCCTTTATTTACTGTAACTATGCATCCGATGAAAAAGAAACTACAGACCACATACCACAGTTGAATATAATGAAACAAGTTAGCGCTTCAATATACACAGTTCAGGAACATGAGGTGCGCATCATCATCACCATTAAAAGCACTGCCAACAGACTACTGCAGACTTCCAAAAGTACTCGCCTTAGCTCAGCTCAGCTCAATACTGATGAGCCATGAGCTTTCGGACTCGAAAGTTCGTTCCATAGGGCAGTGGAGAAGCAGCGTCATAAGCTACATTCCTATGATTTATGGTGACCAAAACAAATTCTGCAGCCCATGTATAGGTTTAGAATCAAGGTTTTCCAGTTCCCCTAGACGTAGGTAGACCTGCATAACCATCAGTCTGGTTGTAAGCACCCAGAGATGTTCACATTCGCCCTCTCACTTTGGTAACGAACATCACACCCAGCATTCACCAGGACTTCATACAATAAGCGTTATTCAAGTCGAGTAAATATTTCAACCAACATACAATTGAAATGATACGAACAATCCGACAAATGAAGCTTAAGTTATTAGACGCACACACACACAACCAAAGGAACCTGACACTTTTTACAAAATCTATTTTATGAACAATCTATTTTTTAAAATTTTTTTCTTCACGTTCCCCAGTGGAACATAGGGCTTCAAGCTTGTGGCTTGAAGTTTCTGTAGCAATGTTTATTTTACAGGATGGGGTTGCTAGCCTCATGCCCAACCTTTCCTCTTCATCAGCATTATATCTGGCTTAGCGAGGTAAAAGAGTACGCCGGCCTGGGATCGAACCCCGGACCATGTGTATGGTCGGCGAGCGTCCTAACCGCTATGCCACCGACGCATGAAGAATCTATACGAAAGAATTAATCTTCATACATAAATCAATAAACAGGTGGTGACAACGCATGCACACACACATACACACGAATACATACCTCAGTACTAAAGGTTAGTTCATAACCCAGATCAGATACATTGTGACTTAGAAGAAATTCTAAACCTTTGAAGAATTCATAATCTTCACTTTCTAGATCAGAACACCTATACGGGAGAGAGGGGGAGAGAGAGAATAAAAACCAAAGCTGAATAAGAATAAGGGATATTATCTAAGTACAAAATCATTTAACGAAAATCAGATACTACCAACTACTTGATTGTTAAGAAACATATATGGGATATGAATTACACAGTGCTACGTTAGACTTACAACTTAATCTACGAACAATTGACAAAGAGCAACGCTTATATCTACGCTTCATTTGTTAAAAGTCCATTACTTCAGTGGATTAGTAGTCATACCTAATTTCATTTATTCATGGAGCACTTACTTCTTTGAAGTTTCAAATAGCCACAGTGGTTGTTGTTAGCTTCACATCCAAACTCTCCTTTTTTCCAGAGCTTACTTTATTGGTTGATAAACTAGACAAGGTTTTGGAGTGTATCAACAGGGAATAGAACAGCGGACCAAATGTGTGTGTCTAATTGGCAAGTATACAACTACGATGGAGTCACAGACGCGCTACTGTCGGGCCAAGTGTATAACGGCTAAGGCATTTAAAATGTTGTGTTCCGAGTTTCAGTGGGAACACCATCCCTAGTTGAGAAAGCAAGTGCATCCAACAGACAAACCCGAAACAGGACTAAATGAGCATTGCGGATTACGCTATTAGCCAACATCAACAAAATAACAACAGGTGTCAATTAGCCTAATTCATACTTATATAGTGAACATAAAGAAAAATTCAGACTGATCGATGTTATGCCAATTAGTCATTAGCTTTAAATTTTACTTTCAAGTGTGACGCCCATCTAGAACAAATGCAAATTTAAAAAAAAATCATACTGAGTATTTTCCACTAACCCAACAAAGATATAATAAATAATGAGTAAGACAATTACACCACCGTCAAAATTTCTTACAGTTAGCTATTTGGAGTTAATAAATATGGTGTTGCATTACTCAGCATCCTGTGTCAATAGACTTCACCATCACCACAGACATAAGGCAACCGGATTGAAGTCAAGTTAAGCTAGGGCATTGTGTGTAGTTCAGTTTCTCGTAACAAATTTCCAATGTACCAGTTTTTATGAGTCATACTTATTGTTTACAGGATTTCACACCATGAGCTGACATTGGTTAGAGAACCATTGGAAAACCAGCTGGGAGCACTGAGTAGCTGTTTTGTCCTAGTTTGGGACTCTTCATCAGTACGCACCCACCACAGGGGTTCGAACCCAGGACCTTCTGGTTACAAGGTGAGCTCGTAGACCATTAAGTCACTGGGACCCGATCCAATGGCCAGTGCATGAATTCTAACTTCTGCCAATTCGAACCCCGGTGGGGGCACAGTTTTAAAAATTAATATATAAATAGGCGGAGAGACAGAGAAGGTGATTATTGAATCTTCATTCAACGAATTTATACCTAAAAAGAGCAACAGCAATGACTATAGACCAATACCAGAGATACGGATGAAATCAAAGAGTGAGACATAATGGAATTATATACACAAAGTTTGAAAGTTCTGTGAGTACCTTGATATGATTGTGGTCAAAACGTCATCAGTAAATAAATAATACTGTATCACACTGTATCACAGTGTGTTTTACATCAAATAACCTTATTCTCTGATGAAAGTATACTCTACCACAATGCCCAAATTCTATCCTTATATCAATATAAGCACTCATTGGTCGATCATGATGCGAAATACTTCAGTGGTAACGTCTCTGAATGAATGCAGAGCTGGATGGCGATCAGCTCATTCCAGGTCATAGAGATACAGTCTGTTGACGAATGCGAAATCTAGATAGTTGACGACTTCTTTATCGACTAGTCTTGAAATACACAGGACACATCAATTTGGATGAAAAATTTAGATGTGTAATCTTCAAATCTGTGAAACACATAAGTTGATGTGTCCAATTTCTACATTACACAAAGCAAAATTTATGTGATAGAATGAATAAACCAAAACCAAAAAAAACTTACTTAACAGGTACACCTAAAATATGCTTATAAAATGCTCGTGTAAAATAGCACTCCAATAATTTATTATCATTTATTGCTTTAGCAATAAAACGTCCAACAAATTTGAAATATGACAGATGATTACTGTTAATATATGAACTTGGATTAATTGTATACGTGACACGATCAGCTGGTGAAACACGGAATAGACAATAGTTTGGATTGAATATCTCTCGACTCATTAATAAAAACCATTCACGTAGTGGACCACCAGCATCTTGACCTTCTTCATCTAAACATAAATAAGTAGTGATAAATCAATCGTTTTAATCATTAAATTCATTTGAAAATAGGACAATGAAAAAGGGGACTCAATCAACCAGAATCTACTTTTTGTGGTATCTGGCTGTTGTTATTCCCTTAGGTTACAAGGGGAACATATGGGGGGAGGGCTTCCAGAAGCATGCTGCCATTTCACCCAGTTATCTGTAGTTTCTTTATCGCTGGTCCCAAGACTGTTCATGAGGATTTATTTCCTCTTCACACACACACACTATCTTCTCCATATCGTCCTAAAACTCACGTCAGACTCGTCGTCCCTTACACTCGACGGTATGCCTCACGTGTGATGTCAACTCAGAGTGTGTTCATGCCATCACCATTTTCTACGGTATGTGTCAGACGGTAAATTATTGATTAGATTAATTGAATTTCAAGAGTTCATTCAGGCCATTTGATCTTCGGAAAGAAAAGAAGGCGTTTGCTGATGTACATCTGTAGCTTGAAGCATACAGAAGCATTAGTGTTGAAAATCCTCATCTTGTTTCTTTATGCTAACTGAAGCAGATTTCAACACTTCAGATTAATATAGTGGCTGAATGGTATACGAGCTTGTCTTGTAACCGGTAGGTCCTGTGTTCGAATCCCAGTCGATGCGTACTGCCGATAATATAGATCTGTCTAGCTGGTTTTGACATCATCATCATTCGTGCAACCTGTAGTTGAAACCATGCTGCGCAAGTAAGTAAAAGAAGCGACTTCCTATAGATTTCTAAAGGTGATAGTGATTGGTTCTTGTTGTTGTTGTTTGTTAGGTAACTTCATCGCTTCTGTCTTATCTGTGTTCATTTGAAGTCTTGTCTTCGCTGCTGCTTCTTTTAACACCTCATCTGTTTTTTCTCCTCTGGATCTTCGACTTTGTGTGACACTAGACATAAATCATCCACGAAGTTCGAATTTTCCAGAGTCTCTCTTCTTGGCTCGACGAATTCTTGTCTCATGGCTCCTCAAGGCCTGCTGCCACCACAATGAGGAATATCATAGGCGTTAGTAGGCTGAGACATAATTATTGTATGTGTGTGAGAACCGACAATACTACACAGTTGCTCGGGTACCCCTGTTTATAGTAGTATTACTGTTCCGGATAGATGAGCCCAAACACAGAAAAGGAAACAAATCAAATACCCACGAACCAACTCTTGGAATTAATCTAATCCGCGCGCCAGTGATCAGCTGCAGGACAAGGTTGCCAGCAGTTCTAGTCGTAACCAGTGGAGTCCACCCGGTTAGGAGTGAGGACAAATACTCACAAGCAGTGACACTGACTGGTGGCCACATTAAAATCACGAATAGGCAGAGGTGAAAATTCACAGGCCGTTGAGTTGGGTCGCAGTGACTGAATGGTCTACGAACCTTCCCTGTGACCGGTAGGCCTTGAGTTTCAACCCCATTGGATGCATACCGCCGATGAGACCCAAAACAAGGACGAAACACCTGTGCAGTACTCCCTGATTTCCAATGGTTCTGTAACTGATATCAGTCAGTCAGTGGTGAAACTTGAAGCAAATAATCAAATCCGTACAAAGTAACGCAGGAAATATATATATATATATATATATATATATATATATATATATATAATAGTCAAAAATGGCTTACTTTGGAAACGAATAACAAATTTATGCTTCCATTCATTTACAGATTTTCTATGAAGTCTAGCATAACTATCTTCAAATATACGTTCCCTTGATACTGTTATCGGTTCATCATCAAGACGACTACTAGACGATGAACGATTCGATAGTGATTGAAGTTGTTGTCGGAAGAAACGACGTTTCACATCAAAATCAAGCACACGAGGATAGGCTAAGAATACAGCAAACGGTGATTCACCAATATTTGCTCCATACTGACGAAGTACTTGACTTAATCCACGACGATACTTGTCTGCAAATTGTATGATAGGATTACGAGATTGTGAATTTTGTGATGTAAGTGTACAACTGGTTGTGGAGCCTTCGATTGTTAACTCTTCATCCTCTCCAGTTGTACCACTCGGCGACAGAGGACCGCCTAAATCGAAATACAAGTGTCCAAGATGATCAGTAGTTGATGATCGGTTTGAATCAAATTCTGATTGAGATGACGAATCAACACAGATATGCAATAAAGGCACCATGTCAATAAAACTTGATGCACCAGTGGAACAGGAATTGCTTCGATTCGATCGATTATTTGTTGGACGTTGACGTAGCAGGATAGTGTCTTTGAGCAAGTGAACATGAGCTAAACAAAATACTTCGAGTAGAGGCTGTAATAAGAGAACAGCATTTTGATCATTTAAAGCTTGTAGTCGTTCAAAAGCTTGACATAAATAATTCCAGAATTCAGTGACACCAGGTACAGTGCTTAGAAGATCATTTGATGACACAGAGATTAAATTTGTTCCAACTAATGAGCTATCACCAGCTGCAATGCGTAACATTAGGCCTAAAACACCACGAAGACGACACTGATCATTGTTAGGATATGTGAAAGGTTCTGATGAAGTTAACTGGAGATCAGTGAACTTAGCAGCCGCTTGTTGACGAGCTTCACCTGATACAACAACCATTTGACCCGGAGAACCAAAACGATCAGGTAATATGTCATAGGAAGAAATGCGACTTATGTCTGGTGGATAACGAGATGTAGATGGTCTACTTTGATACTGCTTTGAAGTTGATTGTAGAGGTAGTTCGTCTTTCAAGCGATTATCGACTTCAAGTATAAGACTCTACAAAAATAGATGACAAATAGTAGCATTAGAAGGGAAAAGAAGAAAAAAGGAGGAGGAATAAAAAATCTAGAGCAGCACAACATAACACATTCTAGTTTATCGGTACTAACTACTCCAAGAGTGAAAACTGTACTAAATCGACGAAATAAATAATAACAGACTTGACGTAGAAATCTGTGTTACAAGATTAATTTCATAACCTAGCCCCACCCCCCCCACCCAAAGCCCTAAACTTGTACATCGAAATAGACGTGGTGAACAATATCTCACATCAACTTTTTTTCTAAAACACATACAAAAGGCCCGTGTGGCATTTGCCAATTTACGTCATCTTTAGTGGAGACGAGGCGCATCTCACTATCCATCAAAGGACGCATCTACTGAACATCAATTCGTTCTGTCTTTCATTATGGCCGTGAAGTATAGTCGTTAAAAGCGAAGGATGTGAAAATACTAGCGGTATTCTATCTCTTGTGTTAAGTGTTAAGAGCAACATTCAAGTTATGCATGGACTGCTAGGTAAGGAAAAGAAATCAATTGATCACGTTATTAAGCTGCATTAACTGAGATGACCAGGACATTTTATTTGCATGCTCAGTCATCTCTTTCCACAGATAACAATGTTAAGTGATTCCATTATGGATAACATTGTATGTGTGTGTGCGTGAGTGAGGGCCTTGAAATGATTATGAGTAGTAATAAATTGTGCTCGAAACGTCCTCAGTAAATATATTACTGTATAACATTGTGTGATTTTATCAAAATAAAATTTTATCCATAGTGTGGAGTGTTACACTCTAAAACCACAGTGCCCAAGTTTTATCCTTATATCAATGTTAAATGATGCAGAATTAGGTTGGAAAGGGATACTGGTTGTCAAACCAAAACCTAGCACTGACAGCTGTTTTTAGTCACATAGAGGGAGGTGTACAGTGGTTTGGCTGGTTGGTGTGTGCTAAGAACCAAAGGCTTAAGGTTATTGGCGAAATGGCTCAAAATCTTTGTCAATGGCGCAGATACATTGACTTGCTGATCTCCAAAAACAAATAAAACCCTTATGTCTCTTCTTCTATGTTACTACTCCTCATCCTTTGTGTTACTAATGAATGTAGTTCTGTAGAAATTTGTATTTTCCCTGACTATGTGCTACGAGGAGTTTGACAACTTGAAGTGCTGCAATTTTGATATAAGTATAAAACTTGGGCACTGTGGTAGAGTAATTTAACTGTACAACACTGTGATTTATTAAAATAAAATCTTATCCATTATGCTGCAACTTTGTTCAAAATTAAGAGAAATTCTATCTATCAAGGCAAAGGATTAAACAACAACAAAAAAGAACCTCAGAACAAATGAACTCAATGCATTGGACAACACAAAAAAAATAATACCTGTAATTGAATAGATATTTTTGATATCAATTGACCAGCTGTGTTACATAACAAACGTAGAATTGTCTCTTTCATAAGGTGATTCGACTGAGCAAGATCAGTTAATAATTGTGATGTTATAGCACGTGCACTTTCAGTAAACTTTGGAGCTAACACCAACTGGCATATAGCTTCAATAACATGTGGTCTTAAGGGATCCATAAGATCATTCGGTGGACTTGCAATAGTTGAAGTAGTAGAATGTGTTGATACAACAGATGACTGAGTTTCTGGGACAGGTGTAGCTGGTGAGGTGTTTGTGACAGATGATGAAGTTGTTGGTTGGTCTACAGGATTGTCAGTGGGGTCCTAGATTTTGAAAAGAGAGAAGATTATTATCACTATGTGTATTTAGATACTGTTTAATCTGTTGTGGGTATTAACAAAGTTTTGAATGTGCATTCCTTATTGTTTATATATACCCAATGAAAATTCCCTTATTACAATTTGGCCAACTGGATTTTGTTGCGAATATCATCATCATCCACTGTGACGCGTATATGTCACTTCGTTTTTGGTTTTCGAATTGAAGACAGAACTTTCAGTTTGAGCTCTGAGGTTTCACTAGTACTGGTGCTAGCTACACTCCCTATCTTCCCTCTTTATCGGGCATATTATCGGCTAAGTTTGGTATAGGCGTAAGTTGGTGGCCGGCGATTCAAATGTGGACAATGCGCGTGATTGGTGGGCATTCTACCCCTGTACGCTGAAGCACCGAACGCCGACTCATCGAGAAGGAAATTTAACCACAATTTCTTAGGAGAAGGTGGACAAGAGAAAAGGCAGAGTAATGAAGAAAATGGTGACTCATAGTTATAACTGCTGTTACTGAGACTTATTTTTATGTTAACCAATAACCATCGGCAATGCCATGCATGCAATTGGTAATAGGAAACCGTTGTATGATAGGTTTAATCAAACCAACTAGCTGCTCAAACCTCAGAATGTGTGACGGAGTTCAAAACCCGGTGGACTTAGTAGTTGGGAGTCACGTGAATAGATCAATGAATCTCGGCCCCACTTCAAATCTACTAAAAAACCCGTAATATCATCTAACAGAAACTATTCATTTAAAAAATGAGGCAAGTAAGTAAAAGCCAGCTGTTGAACTTAGGTTTGTGAGGGAATCGGAAACGCCTGGTTATTTTGTAGACACAAATGTTATGCTGTCGTTTTCATGATGTTACACATATTTGCATCGATAGTTTGTATGACAAACCACGAATGACACCACCACAAAGGAAGTGGAAAAGAAAATTAGATTTTCAAGTGTTGGTTTGTAGGGATTTGATTGGTTACAGGATTTTCATCATGAGCTGACATTAGTTAGAGAACCACCACTGGAAAACCAGCTGGGAGTACTGGACAGCTGTTTCACCCCAGTTTGGGACTCTTCATCAACACGCAATACCTGGGATTCGAACCCCGGGACTTCTGGGTTTAGATTAGATTTCTAAATAATATTGCTCATCAAAACCTTTTGAGAATTCCGCTTTGTCTCTGATTTTAATTAACAGCATCTTACAAGTCAAATTATTACTTATCAAAATAATCGTAAAAAGTTCAGCCAAAAGCAATTATTCGTGTACAGTACAGTATGAATGAGACAATCGGCTACCATATAACGTTGAATAAAGTAGTTCTTGCCCGAACACCACTGGGCTCGGTTGATATGTGCATTAGTGACGGGTAGGGAATACGCGGTGTTGTCGGCTTCATCTGGTAGAATGTTCACCAACCACGCACATTGTCGAGGTGCAATTGCCGGTAGGGGCCCTCGCTTAGTTTATTAACCCAGGAACCCAGGAGAAAAACGACACTTCCACGTGAAGCTAGCAACCCCTATTAAAATTACACCATAGATACAAAAACTTCAAATCTTGAAGCCCTATGTGATTAAAATAATGCAGCCGGTTAACCAAACGTAATAATTTACGAATCGCGCTTGTATGATATTAGCGGACTTAACATTAAAACAAAGTAACTACGTTGTTTGGAACTTTTTAAAATTCTCTGTTGGGTGATTTCGGTGGATGAAATGCTCTATCATTATTTGCTTATCGATTCGTAGTACAGACGTTTCGATAATGCGCCGTGAAGACACATCCTGGATTCCCCTGCTAGTCAAGTTTCCAAATATAATAGTCAATACTTGTTGCGTAAAGACACTTATTAGCAACCTAGTGGATTACATTTCGGTGTTTAAAACGACAGATGATAGATTGAAGTGTCACTGGAAAACGAATACTTAATAGGATGCAGGTGAATCCTGCCGACACAACTTCCAAACAGGACGATAAGTGCACCCTGGATCCCACCACTAAACACAGGCAACACTAGTGATGAAAACAGAACGAAAAAGTCCCATATAAAAGCACTGATGACTGTGCGTATGCAAAGAAAAACCCAAGCAAAAAATAGACAAATTCGCATACCTGTTGATTTGAATTGTCAGTCAGTGTGTTGACAGTAGTGGTGGGCGTGATTAAATTATTTGGATGCGTTGAAGCCCGTGCAACAGATATATCGGAATGTGATCGGCTAAGCAGAAAATCTTTCACAATACCCGCAAGAATTATGACCAGGCGTTCTTGATTCACTGGACGGTCGTGTAACATTTGATGACAGAGTAATTCAGATAGCGCAATGAAACAATTTGGTGCCGACTTTGAGGCGTTTTGCTTAGCAGCATCGTGTGCTTCTTTGACAGATTCACTTTCTGTATTCTCTGTTATAACAAATACGATTTGTTAAAAGTAGATAGAAGAGACAGACAAATGAGGAAAAATTGTAAGGAAAGAAAAACGAAACACTATCTGAGTGATAATTAAACCAGGCTAAATTTAGGTAAAAGTGTTACATGAATGTGTCAACAATTCAGCAGTACAATACTCGCCAAGCATTCACGCGTGGTGGTCCAAGGGGGGTTAGATCGCCTCACTGCTTAACCTCTCTCATCCGGTAGTAAAACATGCAAGAAAAGGAAGATTGGCTGGCACGACTGGCGGCCGGTCACAATTTCCCATAAGAACTTCAGGTAAATTGCATATGCTAAAAGGGAGTTTCAGGTCATTCAGAATCTTATTTTAAGGCTCTACACTACCTAACAGTGGAGGAAATGAATCACTTGTTAATATTGCAAACAGGGTTCCACCGATATGAATAGTTAAAACGTAATACCATCAATATCATTTGCATTAATATAAAGAAAATAATAATCTGTACTGTACGCTAAACCAATTGCGAGAAAATTGAAAGACTATCATGTAACCGAAAGTTTAGTCTTTTCGGGTGCCTTTGTTTCCAGATTTTTCACATTGCATTATTTGACGGTGACCAATTATTTCCTTGGTCTCGGTGGATCAGAGGTAGAACACTCACCAACGACGTAAGTGCTTTGCTGTTCAATTCCCGGCGATTGACGCACCCCTGAACCTCGCTTAGCTGATGTTAAGGCCGGTGAAGTGGGAGGGTTGGGTGTAAGACTAGCAACCTCATCCTGTAAAAAAGAAACACCATTGTGCGTCGGCGGCACAGTGGTTAGGACTCTCGCCAACCATGCGCACATGGTCTAGGGTTCGATCCCTTGCCGACGCACACCTAATATCAATGGTAGGCCTACAAAATTTGGGCTACCGATATCACATGCTGAAAATTCCATACTTGTACCAAAAATACGGTTTGGAATCCAGCTATAATCAAAAAAGTATTTAAAAAATTAAAACATCAAAGCTCCCGCTTGAAGGTCAATGTTTCATTCGGAATCCAAAAAGAATAAAAAGGCTATTTCGTTGATACTGATACATCAAATTATGACGTACAAGTAGCACGTAGACAAGTTAAACTTCGAACGCCAACAATTACCAACGGAGTGCGTCCACACCAATGGCCTTGAGTGGCCCAATGGATTTTATCCACGTGAGTTGAAGCCTTTATTCCGAATGATTCGTGTCAAATGTCTGCTCTAACAGAGTTACGTTTGAAATTTTGGTAAAGACCAAGTCTTCCAGTATTGCTCTTAGATGTGGAACGATTTGAGAAGGATTAAAAATTCGGATTAGAGCCCTATTAATGGATCGCAATAGGATGTTATTTGTAGTCATTTAGATGAATGTATGTATAGAAATGTGGTGTAACTTTTCTATTGATACTCCTGTGCTAAACTGGAAGTTGTTTTTATTACATATGAAAGAAAGGTATCCTCTGTAATACCTTTATATTGTTTTAATGCATTTTTTTCATAAATACATGTGGTTGACATCCAAAAAGTAATCTTTCATGTGATTGGTGCATTCAAGGTCATTCGCTGATTGGCGGACGCTTGAAGTTTATTTAACTATGCAACTATAAGATATGTACAGTGTTGTTATTGCCAAATAAACAAGAGGAACACCACAGTATATAACTTACCAGTGGTAAATGATGTTTCCATGGCAGTTAACTGAGATGATGAATGATACGGATTTACAGATACTTTCACTGAAGAAGATGTAGGCTCTTGAGGTGAATCATTCGACTGTTTGTCAGAAATTGACAGAGGTCGTTTTCTTGACGATATTCGTGTTCGACGGATTGAAGGACGTGTTGGTGTAGACCCAGTGGTACTGTTAGTAGGAGATGTTGTATTGGATTGAGAAAGTCGACTGAATATATCCCAGAAAGATGTAGTAGGAACTAAAGGGTGTTTTTTTTTTCATTTTAAAAGAAAAGTTTGGAAATGGGAAAAAAATATTTGTGTTAGTGACAGAAAAAACCAATCAGAGCAAAAGACTCATTGAATAAGACACTGAAACGATGTATATACTCATATTTACACCATGAATTTACTTTTTATACACAATATTCGAATACCGCATAGTTGAGAAAAACATCGGTACAAGGGAATGCAAAGAAAATGAATGAATCCCTATTACTAAAACTTCATGAACCAGGGGTGTGATTTTCATCGAGGTTTCAAGGAGTCGTGAAATACTAATTTATTGATTCATTCTAATCAGGATAATACCTCTGACGACATTCCAGGAAATAGTGATGCACTACTACTAACAAGTGCTAACTTAGCACAACTATTCTTCATCCTATAGTGTAACGTCATGTGCTGACCACACACCCTTGTCCAACTAGTCCCACCCCTAATATTAGGATCATGAAACAGTGAACGAATTCAGAAGCATGTGTTCACCACTAAAGCCATGGATCTCAAGGAACAAAATTATAAATGACACAGTTCATGTAAACATAGAACTTGAGCATTATGAAATATTACAAATTTCAGATGGGTGCTATTATGACCGCTTTTAAACATAGCATTGGAGTCAGGAGTCAGACAAGGGTGCTTATTATCACCAATGATATTCCTAATTGTGATGGACTGGATTATGCGTCAGACAGTGGGAAACGAGAAGACAGGGATATCCTGGACCGACGTGAAGAACCTAGAAGACCTGGATTTCGCGCGTGGATTATTTATGTTTGATGTCACAAGAAATCGAAGACTTACAAGCGAAAACCGACAAACTGGTTGAAGAAGCAGCAAAGACAGGACTGCAGGTGAACATAGACAAGACGGAGGTTATGAAAATAACCAACAAACCAACCAACAGCAACAACAACAACAACAACAGCAACATCCAGCGCCAATCACCATCAACGGAAGGGATTTGAAAGAGGTTACTTCTTTCACTTATCTAGGGAGCATTGTCTCAACTACAGGAGGAACGGACGAGGATGTCAAATCAAGAATCGGGAAGGCGAGAAACACATTCATCAACCTGAAACCAATCTGGAAATCTTCGTCACTCAGCATCAACAAGAAAATTCGGATTTTCAATACAAACGTCAAGTCAGTCAGTTCTTCTATACGGATCAGAAACTTGGCGCCGGGTCACAAAGAATCATTTCCAACAGCCTGTTGCAGACCTTTATCAACAACTGTCTTCGTCGCTTTATACTGAAGATCAGATGGCCGGAAAGAATCACCAACAAGAAACTATGGGAACAAACAAAACAAGAACCAATCGCCCAGCAAATATGCAGGAGAAAGTGGAGATGGATTGGACACTCGCTGAGCTGAGGAGGCGGCTGGGTGACATCGCGCGTCAGGCCAGTGCTCGAGTGGAACCCGAAAGGGAAGCAGCGAGTGGGACGTCCAAGGGTGACATGGAGGAGATCGTGTGAAGAGGAGTTGAAACAGTATGGATGAACATGGATGCAGGTAGAAAGTAGAGCAGAACACAGAATCAAGTGGAGATGTGTTGTTGAACCCCTATGTTCCACTAGGAACCCAAGGGAACAATAATAATAATAATAATAATTGGATTAATAATTCACAGGTTAAACCACTTTATTTCCCCCTAGAAATCGCATGATGAATCCTCAGGAGACATTAATCTGATATTCATGGTTGTCAGAAGGACACACATCATAACCAATTCATTGATATACAATAAATAATAATATTGATTGAAAATTACTTACTATCTGTGTTCTGCGAAGTCCCCACACGAGATGATGATGACGATGAAAATGGCAGTGATTTCACATCACTTGTTATTTCTGATATCTGGGATGCTTCAGCTGGATAGAAATGCGATGGGAATGATTGAGTTAATTCATTCAGTGTTTCTAAGAGAACACCGGCAACAGAAACTGCTGCTTGTGGATGAATAATATATCGAACGGGATTGGTTGAATTCGAGGAGCCTACAGCAGTATGAGTCTCATTCTGTGACTGACTAGATGATGATACTGTTGGATTTTGAGTAATAGGATGAAAAATTCTAACCCAACAACCTAAAGCAGCTTCAAAACCAGCATTAAACAAGGTATTATTCTTAGCATTTGATCCAGATTTATAAGAATAATCGAATTCCCCTTCCTTTGTTGTAATTAAAGAAGACGATTGATTCATACCACTTGAACTGGTTATCATTTCGTAATTGTCTGTAGAATGAGTCAATCGTGAATGCGACGACAATGGCTTTTCACACAATCCATTAAATAATGATATCAGGGTATTGACAATCCAATTTCGTGTATTAGTATGACACGCAAGATTACGTAGAACCTAGACAGTGAAATGTTAGAAATTTGATGTAAAAAAAAGAGATTACCATATAATCAGTACAAATAATGCAGTAGAATACGTGTACATCCTAATACTAAGTAGTATATGTAAGATAGTAAAGAGAAATATGTTCCATAGATCAAATCCACAACTTACACAGTTCAAAATGAAATTTAACCGAAATTAAATGGTGATCAACCCAATTAAACAAGCATATGAGTGCATAACAATTACATGCTAGTGGTTGACTGAGATGAGCAGTTGTGCACACTACTGACAAATCAATCAGTAGTAGTGACTGTCAGTCATAGAACGATGTGATCTAGACACCGAACAACAGTTTCACGGATTTGCCCGTGGTTGATCCAGCTTAGAGACAGCTGAATCAATTCAAACCGCTTGATTTGCAACTACCTATCTACCTATATGGGCAAAATGTAAAGCCCATGAACACCAAATTCGTAATTTACACAGCAGCTCAAGGTGAGATTGGCTTTTACCAATAAACTTACAAATTGCTAGGATGAATATAAGTTTCACAAGATTAAAAAGATTAGCAGTAGTTAGTCTCAAGAAAATTACTTCTTTGAACTCAGTTAATCGAGACAAACTTTTCATATACCAAGTTATGAGCTAGCTATACACAGTCCCCTTCAGGCTGATGTACATGGAGCAGGATCTGATTTTTAATGATTGTTTAACCGTATAACAAGGCAAGGTAATCTGCACCTCTCTCTAAGTGGTTTAAATCAACAGTCACAGACTTTGTGGGCTGATGCAAGCTTTTGGTTTGAGCGCCCCATGTCAGCTAAAGTTGCCCGGTGTGGAAGTCATGAGTGTGACAACCAACCATCACACAATGGATGCAGCTTCGCCACCTCATCATCTGACCTGCCCTCCATATCTAACACTTTGCGGCGACAATCTTCACATCACCATTATGCTATATCACTTAACCATGAGATACAGAACGTAAATACATGTCATCAAAGGCAGTTAGACTCTTCAAATCTTCAACTTTTGATGTCCATGTCTCACAGCCATGAAGAAGGATAGAGCGAACTGTGGTCGATAGCCAAATATCACGTCTACAATAGAGATGATATAAGTCGGCAAATGATGCACGAGTCTGTTTTTTATTCGCGCCGAGATTTCGTCCAAAATCAGTCCATCAGGGTTGATGAATTCTCCGAAATAACTGACGCAGTCAACAACTCACTCAACCAACTTACTTACTCCCTGCCTTTAAACTAGGCGTTAGTGCGCACCAATCTTGCAGTACCATCTTAAATTCCACAGGAGAAGAAGACTCTGCAGTTCACCTAGTAAGACAAACATTGTCTGCATAAGCTAAGTCAACAAAACTATTTTTTGGTAACAAGTAAGTCTATAAGTCACTAAAGTAGACAACTAGGGACAAGCTCATTAGTATCTGTATGATGCTATCACTGAATGGTAGAATATTAAAGGCAGTTTAAAGCGTATTCAACTATACGAAACAACATATATTACCAAAATAAGCATGCTATTTTCTTACCCTTTTGATTGTTGGTACAATATGTTTCTTATGATAAGAACATGTTGACATAGATATAAGTACAACAATTATACATGTTAATCCTTCATGATCGACTAATTCACGACCGCATATACCTGCAGCTGAACGACCAGCTAATGAATTATTTGAACCTAATGAAACTCCAACACTATCAAGATGTCGTAGAAACTGATTGATGGAATTAAATCGAACATCCCATCGGCCATGTCCACCGATTAATCCCGACGCTGTGGTAAAATTACGCCAAATATCTGTCGGATTTTTTTTAGAAAAGAAGAAAAAAAAGAAAACCAAAAGTTCAAGAAAAGAAAACTGAAAGTCTAAAACACAAGAGAGAGAGAGAGAGCAATGACACTGTTAAAACTAGGCAAGATGACTACAAACATATGCCGATGATTCAATGGTAAAATATGCACCTGCCAATCACGCTGGACGCCCAAGTTTGATTCTAACTAGCGATTAAAACAAGAACCTAAAAGTTACGGGACGGGTTTGTCGAATACTCCGGTTTCCATTCCTGGCCGATGAACTCCCAAATACCTACTCTAGTTCACTACCTAGCAGTAGGCTAGGAAAAGCTGGGAGGTTGGGCGTTGGGTGACAACTCCATCCTTGAAGACAAGGAATATGCATATATATATATATATATATATATATATCCTATGAAAACGGATTAATTTAAATAATTTAAGAAATATCACATAATAGTCACTTACGATCAGGTCTTGTATCAGTCGAATGAGACAGAAGACCATTTTGAACAGCACGAGCATAACGTTCTTCATGTTCACGACGTAGTCGGTTAGCTTCAGTGACAAGGTGTTGTGGTAGAGTTTCAAACTGTGACTCCTCCATGTCAGCCAACACTTCACGTAGCACTGAAGGCGGTAAAGAAGCTAAGAAAGCTGTATTACTATCAGTATTACTCTGTGAAGTCGCTGGTTGAGTAGGTTGTTCACTTGGATTGGCGTTAGTCGACTGAGTAGTTGGTTGTGCTGAAGACTGACGTTGTTGTTGTTCTTGACGAAATTGTGCCAATACCTGAAAACATGAAATCAGTGAATTTTTGTATGTTAACAGATGAAAGGAACACAACTTTTTTACAACAATAAGAACGTGTGGATGGATTTCCACCAACGACAATAGTTGGGGTCGCGCTAAAATCACGAATTGGTAGAAGTTAGAATTCATGAGCCATTGAATCGGGTCCCAGTGGCTGAATGGTATACGAGCTTGCCTTGTAACCGGAAGGTCCTGGGTTCGAATCCCAGTGGGTGCGTACTGCCGATGATTCCCAAACTAGGATGAAACAGCAGCTGTCCAGTACTCCCTGGTTTTCAATGGTTCTCTAACTGATATCAGTCCGTGATCAACTCGTAAAAAATAAGAACCCTATAAAAAGATATTTCGTTCAAAAGGTTCACACACACACACAAGGTGAACCACACCTTGATCGATGTGGTTACGTAAAGCTAATTCACTTCCCCTCGTTTCCGATAGGTAGTGGAAAGCCGGATGCCCAGGCCAACCAGCAATGAGCCAAAGCTCCATATCGAAATAGAAAAAAACAACTTATATGAATTACCTCTTCTTGGATATGCGGTGGAAGACCAGTCAACCATTCTGAATTAATATGCTCCGGTAATGACATTGAATTTATCTGCTGCTGGACTTGTCTTGCATATCGATGATCAGCGATTACTTCCTGTCGCATTTCTTCAGGCAAAGCATCTAAAAAGGATGGATCCATTCCACCTTCAACTAATGATTGAATAGTTTCTTCGTCAGTCATCATTACAGGTGGTCTAGTTGGTGCAATATTTGATACTACAAGATTAGATATATTTTCTGCTGTACTAGTTGCAGGTTGAGTTTCACTCTGACCAGCTGTAGTAGTAGTAGCAGTATTCGATGATTCTTCCAAGTCTGTTGAGTAAAGAAATTGAAATAAAACAAACAATTAAATAAGCACATTTTTTAAAACTCAATACAATATTCTGGATTCAGGAGAAACAAGTCATGCATTGATCAGATCGCCACATTACGGATCATCACTGAACAAAGCTTGGAATGCCAGTCACCTCTCTATCTCAACTTCATCGACTTTGAAAAAGCATTCGACAGCGTCGATCGAGAGGTGATTTGGAAACTACTTCGCTACTATGGGGTGCCACCAACAATTACACATCTCATCCAACAGCTGTACGACAATGCTGCATGCCAAGTAATCCACAACGGGAAACTTACGGAATCCTTCGAAGTGAGGACAGGAGTAAGACAAGGCTGCCTACTATCGCCAATGATTTCCCTGATTGCAGTAGATTGGATAATGCGACAAACAGCGGGCAATCAGGAAACAGGCATAAAATGGACTCACACAAAAACTTGGAGGATCTGGACTTCGCCCATCATGATATATGTCTCATTTCCCACAAACTGGAAGATTTGCAGGTGAAAAGCAACAAGTTGGTAGAACAAGCATCAAAGATAGGATTTCAGGTGAACATAGATAAAACAGAGGTGATGAAAATTTCTAGGCAACACCACCAACAGCAACAACAACAACTGACAACAATCAGCATAAATGGAAGGAACCTGAAAGAAACAACCTCCTTTACCTACCGACCTGGGAAGCATCGTTTCAACTACAGGTGGGCGGAACTGACGAGGATATCAAAGCAAGAATCGGAAAAGCAAGACAAGCTTTCACTACTCTCAAGTCTGTGTGGAGGTCAACAACACTCAGCATCAAAAATAAGATCCGGATTTTGAACTCCAATGTGAATTCAGTGCTACTATACGGATCAGAGACTTGCACTGCGCGTCATAAAGAGCATCTCAAACAAACTACAGACCTTCATTAACAGTTGTCTTCGATCAGTACTCAAGATGAGATGCCCGGAAGATCTGTAAGCAAACCAACCAGGAACCGATTGTGCAACAAATAAGCAGGAAGAAATGGAGATGGATTGGCCATACTCTAAGGAAACCACCAAGTGACATCACTAGACAAGCCATTGCTCGAGTGGAACCCCGAAAGGGAAGCGGCGAGTTGGTCGTCAGTGCAAGGGTGACTTGGAGGAGGTCATGTGAAGAGGAGATGAAAACGAGTGGGCAGACATGGAGCCAGGTGAAGACTCTAGCAGAGAACCGAACGCAATGGAGACGCACAGTTGAAGCCCTATGTTCTTCTAGGAATTAAAGGAAACAATAATAATAATAATACAATATTCTTACGATCGTATAACACACTTCAAAAAATAGTATAGGAAAGCCTTTCTTATCAATACGCCTTCCGCGAATTGAAAGGAGTTAGAATACACAGATTATTGAATACCAGACCAGCCGCCCAAGTGACAAAATGGTCAACGAGCTTGGTGTCGTAATATGAAGCAGTCCAGGTTCGATGCCTGGTTCGATGCCTAGTGAGGTTGTAGGTGTGTAATATGCTACAGTCTCCTAAGATAGGATGAAACAGCTAGCTGTCTAGTATTGTGTACTGTTAGTTTTCATAGGTTTTCCAACCAATATATATATGATTAGGCTGACTCTACTACTTCATATAGTTATCACCGTTTATTTCTGTTCAACGCAATTTTGAAGAAAAAATAATAATAATAATAATCTAGACTAACTGAAAAGGATATCCAACAGACTGCAAGTTTTTATTCACCCCTGCATTCGGTCAATAAGGAAAATCATGTGACAGGTCAGAAAGGGGATAATAAGCAACAAGCCACTATGGCAGCCAATAAGCCAACAATCTATCTATTGCGTAATAAATATGCACAGGGAACTGAAGAGCGCACACGGATCGCAAATACACGAAGGGAACTACTGTTGAATGATATATCATACGCTAGCGAGCCAACCTAGGCGTAGTTCAGAGAGTGATACAGAAGACAACATGTGAAGGGGAATTAAAAGACTATTTGATTCTTTATGGAGATACGTACAAGACGGTAAAGAAGGCAATACAAAGGAGATGGGCAGCTGAAGCCTTACGTTCCACTTCGAAATGCACAAGACGATTAATAATAATGATGATGATAATTTTCTTAACTGAAAACAGTTTAATCTCACTAAACACTCACTGAGGCTGGATACATGGTTGTCTGTTTAGGGGAATCCAACAACAATTCTCAGTGACTAAGCCTTTTTTTACTGACAATAACGCTATCCAAATTTATTAGGAGAGGATTAACCATTTCAAATTCTAAATGATATATAGCTAAGTATTCCCTATATTAACAGAGGTAATGCAAATACCTCCGTCGAAATATTAATCTGAGCATTTAAATGAATACGTAAGAATGTACGTAGAGCCAAAGATTAAATAACATGCCACTATGGAAAAAATGTATGATGACTGGAGTACATGTATATTTATCGAATCTGTTTAGTTAAACATATAGTCCATATTGCCACATATATAGAAAACCTACTTTCCTGAAAGGAAAGTGGAAAACGTGACTTACGTTGGTCAGCAGTACTAGGTACTTCACTGTTTGATGAAATTTCAAGCGTTTCAGCCGGGCTTACAACATCTGGAGTCAATGGAACCTGAGCAGTAGTTGTACGTTCTGTTGGAGAATCTCCTGTATTATCAGAATTTCCGAGAGTTACCACCACATTAGTGACCACTGGATTAGTAAATGTGACAGAAGTTTCAGTAGACTCAGTAGTGGGCTGGCTATTAGATGATGCTAGCGCGGGAGCTGCAACTGTTGGCTCACAAGGAGAGCTAGTAACTACAGGCGAACTATTAGCCACCTCGCTTTCGGCAATACGTAGCTTGAACACTTCATGACGCCTTTCCTCAAGCACTTTATAAATATGATGGCGACTGAGAAGAATAATATCCATGATTTCATGCCCAAATAACATTCGACAAAGATTAATCCATCGTCGATAGTGAGGTGGTAGGGCGTATCCTGCATATGGAATCAGTTGGGCATGATTAATCCCCCTAGAACTAACATCCATCACTCCCTGTTGAATTCTATTGAGCGGTGAAAGAAATCTAGAAAAGATAGCTGCAGCTAAAGCAGAATTAGCAGGAGAAGGTTGATCTTCTGCAAGACTTGTTAACATTGACCATACGAGTTCATTAGCTTCAGGTCCAGAACGATTATCTCGAGCATCACTGGTAACTGGGTTACGAGAGTGACTGTTAGATCCACCAGATGAGATTACATGATCTACATCAGATTCTGTACCATACAGTCGATTTATTACGGTGTGATAACGCCATCCACCATTACTGGAAGAAGGGTGAGGCCCAGCTATCCGATGACGGGTGCCATAATGTGGTGGAACATGTTGTTGCGGTATTGGTGGTAAGTGTGCTATTACGCGATTTGAGGTTGACATAGTATTGGTCACTATTGGTCGGCCTGTTAAACGTAAACCATTAGAACCTGCGTTACGACTAGATACTCCAACATTCACACTATGCGTTGAAGGAGCAGCACTAGCACTAGCAGCAGTTGGTACCTTAAATGATAAAAAAAAATATTTACAAATGAAAATGGCATGAACAAACCATTTGCTAAAAATGCTAATTATATCACGGTTGTGTTGAAACAGTCAACTGAGTGAAAACGCAGTACAAATTTGCAAATAATGAAAACGACTCTGCTGACACTGGCTTCTCTATTCCGGAATTAGTTATTATCATTATTATTGTCACCAAAGACAAATTGATTTTCAAATAATGAGGAAAATCATACACCTTCAAACCACAGAAGTGTTTTCAACGTTTCGGCAAAATGTAACTACTAAGGTTTGGTTGAATGGTAACACATTTATTGAGTACAACTTTAGCTGTCCACTTAGAACTTAGTTTTAAATAAAGGCAGTGGCACGGATGAGCATGCTATAGCCGGAATGAGGAAAACACGACAGGTGTCCTTTACACTGGTCTACAGCGCTTTGGACAACGAACACCATTCAAATTTGCAACACTAATGTCAGTGGTCCTGTATGTTTTAGAGTCTTCGTGGTTGTGTCACTATTGTAGGTCACTAGCGGTTGCGTCAGTAAGTGAACCACTGGGAAATCTAGGAGTACCGGACATCCGTTTCGTCCTGGTTTGCGACTCTTCACAGCACGCTTCCATAGGGCTTCGAACTCGATACCTTTCGGTTACGAGGCAAGCTGGTAGGCCATTCAGTCACTGAGACCCAACCCAATGGTCCATGAATTCCAACCTCTGCCAAATTCCTGCAAACCACCCTTTTTATTTCTTTACATTTTCAGTGGAAGCATAAGGCTTCAAGCTAGAGCTTTGAAGTTTCGGTAGCATTGATATTTATTCTTAAAGGATGTGACTGCTAGCCCCTGCCCAACCTTCACTCATTACCTGTTTTCTAACTGGCTTAGTGAGGTAAAATAGCACGTCGGCTGGATATCGAACACCGAACCACCTGCGTGGTTAGTGAACTCTCTATGGCTGTGCCACCAATGTAAACCAACACTTGACAATTAATATGATGCCTAGTAGCAACTGGCCCTATAACGGAAGTACCCGGGGTTATACCAAGAAGTCGTAGGCAGCGGGGTTCACGAAGTCAGGCAAAAGGAGAGTTACTCGCTCGTGACATTGGTTGGCGGTTTCGCTAAACATATACCACGAATTAGCAGGTGTTGGATTCATGGACCAATAATGGCTCAGGTCTCAGAGATTTAATGGTCTAGGAGCTTGCCTCGTAACCGGAAGGTCCTGGGATTCGAAACACGATGGATGTGTGCTAGTGAAGAGTCGCAAGCTGAGACGAAACAGATGTACGGTACTCCTAGGTTTTTTCTAATGGCTCTTTAACCAATGCCATCTCGCAATCAATCCTGTAACAATCAAATCCTTGCAAACTAACTTTTTTATTGCCCAACGAATAAACAGGGGGAGGAAAGGAGATGGATATGACATACTCTGAAGAGACTTACAAGTCACGTTACATGCTGACAATTCGACTGGTATCAGGATAGGAAGCGACAAGTTGAGTTGGAGTCTGAGGGTGACATGTATGGGGATTAGATGGAATCATATGGGATTAATTTTAATGTCGTCAGAGAACCGAGTGCTAGGGATATGCACTGCTGAAGCCCCATGTGTCTCATTCGGAATGCATCGAATTTGCAATAGTAATAATAATAATATACTTGGAACAGTGAAATAAGATTTTGTACTAAGTTTTGCCATGTAGGTATCAATTCTAATTAATTTTTTCACTGCATTGAATTTTCTGCATAGATTTGGTTGGTTTTCCTGAGGGAAACGTCACTAGCTTCACGCCAAACTTTCCGTGTTTTTCCAGACTCGGGAACCGCTAGGGAACTTGACGAAGTTAATGCGTGATCAAAAGTGTCTCCGACAGACTTCAGGCTTCTCTGTCAGCAGCTACCTTCGCTCTACACAGTTAAGATCAGATAGCCGGTCGGAAATGACACTTAACAAGGAAATCTAGCAACAAACCAACCAAGAGCATATCGTCTAACATGGAGATGAGGGGTTATGAGCAACAGTGGATTAAGAGAACTGCAGCAAAACAAGATAAAACAGACACGTCCTGTTATAGTGCCATATTCAACTTGAAACTTTAGGAAAAATTATTGTTAAATAATCGGAATACGGGGGGGGGGCGATAGCAGAAGTGACTTGAGTAATTGTTTAATTACTCCAACATTTATCCAAGATTTAACCAACCTACAAAACGTTAGATATTGTGATAAAAAAACTACACCATAATACTATTACTAAAGAAATTACTAAAATGTGGTATTATAAAAAAAAATAAAGCGAACCTGAAGCAAAGGATGTTGATTAGCTATTGTAGCAGTTGGCAATATCTGAGGAGATTGAGACAGCTGATTATTTGCAGAAGAAACTACATTCCCACCAGATGAACCAAAACGACCACCAGCATTGTTTCCCGGCACATATACAGACACGTCTGGATTGATACGGAAAACAGCAGCACCTGATAATGTAGAGTTACTACTGTCCACAGCACTACGTCTAGGACCATCACCACCGGCGATAAAATTTGTAAAACTTGGGAAAAGCAAATCCCAATTGCCTGAATTACCACCTCTAGACTGGCTGATAGTTGATAAACTAGTTGTTCCAATATCTCTAAGGCCGTTAGTTGCGAGTGCACTCAAAGTGGGACCGACAACTCGACGGAGAGCTTGTTCCATAACAGTTGACACTGAATGACTTCCACGTGATCCGCGTACCTCAGGTAAAATGATGGCTATATCATCTCTTATAGTGTCCTGTATTGCTTCTGAATAATCATCAATATCTACTCCCTCATAGCTTCTAGCGTCCACAACATGAGTATCGTCATGAAGTACAATATTGCCGGTTTCATCATGCATATCTCCATCGTCATCATTATTATGATGAGATTCAGGATTTTGATTATTACGATCGTTATTAGATCGACTTGTAGTAACAGTCAAAGAAATAGTAGCAGGATCTATTCGATGACGACGACGACGACGTCGATGAGGACTAGACATACCAGAAGGTCGAACTCGATTAGTATTAGGTCTACGATTTCTACTGAGTACAAACGCGACCTCCTCGTCATCCTCACCACTAACATCTACATCATCACCATCATCGCCTTCTACCTCAGGATCATCATCATCTTCACCGTCTTCATCTTCTTCCTCCTCTTCGTCGACATGTTCGTCATCTTCATCCTCTTCTTCGTCTCCTTCTTCTGCCTCCAGAACATCGTCTTCCTCATCATCCTCTTCTTCTTCTTCTTCATCTTGACTATTGTTCCCTTCAGCGCCTTGACCAGAACTGCCTTCATCTTCATCATCATAGACAAATATCACCGATCTAGCCTCTGGATCTGATGAGTTCGAGACGCGATGCCAAGGTTGACGAACATTATTTTCACCGTGATGATGATGATGATCTGTAGCAATTACCACCATATCAGCAGCCAAAACATCACTAAGAACACGAGACAGATTGGAACCAGTAGAAGAAGAAGCCCCACCAGCACCACCGCCACCAACAACAACAGAACCACCACTAAACGCTGTTTCAACATTCTCTACTGGATGTGAAAATTCTTCTTGATGATCTACTAACATAGTGATATCATTATCCTCTTGATCTTCATCGTCTTCTTCATCATCATCATCAGAATCAGTTTCAAAATCTCTAGAAGTGTTATTATTTCCAGGAACAGACTGAATCTCTGAATCTCTAACACCACTAATGCTTGATGCTTCAATTCTTCGCGGATTTGTTGTTGGTGATCCATGAATTACAACACTATGCTGAACATTATCATCATCATGAATACCAGTCATCATTAATTGAACAGCAGCACTATTACTTGGTACTGGTCCACTATGATCATTATCAGCAGCAGCAGCAGCAGATGATGATGTCGTAGTAGAAGATGGGTTGACTTGTCGACCAACAACAACAGAATTATTCCCTACTACTGATTGTTGTTGTTGTTGTTGTTTAGACGACGACGACGACTGAGAATACAATTTAGTATATTCACGATAGACTAAAGTGAAATTTTCTAGTGCTCTTAACATATAACTAATTGTCGATTGTGTATTCGACAGATTACACCCAATTATGGCAATTAATTTACCAATATCTGCTGAAATTCTACGCTTATACAATAGGCGTAGTATAGGCATAACCAGTGGTTTTGGTAAGGAGAGTAGGCGTATTAAAAACATCATATGTGAACTGATTCGATCATTTTTCATTGATGAGACACTATCTGATTTGATATCATCGCATGATGATGATGATGGTAAAGATTTAACACCGATACGACTAAGTGATGCTTTGAATTCATTAATTATCAACCGTTGAACAGATTCACTACTAATGATAATTAAATTTTCTAATAAGGACATTGTAACCTCAGTAGTTGTAGGATCAGTCAATTGATAACTGAATAAATAGGATAGAAATGAACATTTTGGAGAGGAGGAGGAGGCGGAGGCGGAGGACGATGGCGACGACAACAACGAGGTGTCAGTAGTGGTCGACTTGCCAGCAACAGTGTGGTGGTGGTGGTGTTCAGCGTGTTTATGTTTGTACATTGCAATAAATTCAGCAACAGATTTATAAGTGCCAACTAAATCAATTAAATATCGCAAAGCATCTAATTTGCCAAGAACAATTAAACCGGTCTTTTGTTGTTTATTCACATCACTGCAAGGCATTGATGATTGTTGTGGATTAGCGGTTGTTGTGCTTATTGTCAAGCCAGGATGTTGACGACCATAGGTACTACTTGACGACTGACCAGTTGTCGTGGTAGTAGTAGTAGTAGTACTAGAGCTACCCCAATTAACTGTTGTTGTACTAGAAGCAGGAGACATTGTGTTTATCAATGTAGGATCCAGTGGAGCCGTCATAGAAGTGAACGAATCATCACCACGTGCATTTGTGTCCTGAAAGTAGACAGAAGTTGAATATATATAACAGTTAGAACTAATTTTCTAAACAAAATTAAAATAAGAAAGGCATTACAAATTAGTTACCACTTCCATTTTACTACCGAGTATTAACAATCATTGAAGAGGAAGCAATAGAAGATCTTTTTTAACAAGGAAGAGTTGCTGGGCCTACGCTCTTATTTTCCCAGCTTCAAATCAACTAGCAAACTACTAGCCGAGATTAAGCTCGTCAACCAAGATCCGAACCTGTGTTTTCCACTCGACAGAAGTCGACGAAGTGATTTTCAGAAGTGCAACGATAACACTGATGATTATATGAACAAAGAAACATGATCGCATATTCGTTTTTCGGAGTAGATGATTTTTACATAATAAAAACTTTATTTTTCAAAATCAGATATCACTGTTAGTGTGAAGATAGATCAGATCAGATCATCTTACTAAGCGTCTATGACAGGTGGTGGTGGGGAAGTGAAAAATATGAGAAGATCAACAGTTTTCCGTTCAACCTGGCATGTTAGATGAACCGACACGATAAGTGATCACATAAGGTTAGGCGTAGAGCGTGAGGGAATAATAAGGGAAAATCAATCGATGAGGTTTGTGGGGCTGCATCGGTTGAAATAGTGGTCAGGACATGCGTTACGCATGCCAAGTCATCAACCTTGTTCGATGAGAATTCTGTCGATTGATATGAAACTAAGTGAAAAGAGTGTTAGCAATGGTCAGAGCAAAACATAACACCAATTCATCAAGTTTTTGACTTGACTTGACTGTCTAGGTAGGGTCATCTCTAGGCTAAGAAAAAGAAGTTGCAGAATGCTGACGACATAACTACGTAGCATTAAAAGTAGCATACATATGTTCTTTTGTTTCTATCATACAGACTTTGGAATTCCGCTTTAATCTTCAGCTAACTGTTCTTTTCTCTGTTTCCTAATTTCTTAAAGTTTCAATTCATCATAACCTGTCTACAATTAAATTTAATTTAATACTCATCATTTGAGCAGATTCTGAAGATAGGATGGATGATCTGTTCTCTTAGACGTGAAAGATTTCAAACTCCACAAAGCCGAACGGGAAGCTTATAACCTGGGGCTAAGGGAAGCAGGACGATTGTGTGAAGTTAGCATCTGTTTGGTTCATTACAACTCCCTGGATAAGGTCCGAAAGGTAATTCAAATTAGTGACGGAAAATCGAAATAAAAACCGCAAACATGCCGTAATTTTCTCATTTCATTTATTTGTGAAATAACCGTCAAGTGATAAACTCTCCTTGAATGCTCTTGATAAGTGCGCAAACCAGTTTGTTCCTCGGTCATTCTTGTTTTCATCGTAGGGAATATGCTAATATCGCCCCCCCCCTCCCAAAAAAGAAATGATATGCAGTTTTCATGCTAACACTCAATGACTGAGTGAGTTCCGACACACGAACTTCCATGGAATTGCCATAGTTCAAGTGGCACAAAAAGGTAGACAAAAGAGAGGAAAAGGTATGAGTCTCAAGTCATTGGTTCTTAGCACCTCAACGTCACCAACCAATGCAGTCTACATATCCCTATGTGGCTAGTTCATACCAACTATCAAAGACTTCATGGATTGATGTCAGGATTTGACTTGACCACCACGAACTCTTCCCCAGCCTAACTCCTATGTCAGATAACACTGACTGTCAATGAAGGGGATGGTAAGGCATGCTCAACACGTCCTAATCATTTCAGTCCCTGTTGCTCCACAACCGCAGATATAGACGTCTTACATCAATACTGCTCACCACATTATACCACTTAACATGGGGAGACAGGACACAAACAACGGGTATAAATAAAAACTTACTTCAAGATATGTTCCTACTCCAGTTGTAGTAGACGATGAACGACAATCTCCTTTTGATTTCAACACTGTTGAAGACATTATCAAATCCATTAATTGTGTTAGCAAGTGTTTTTGTCGACTAGTAAGTGGAAATAATGTAGATCGTTCCGAATTAGGACCAGCTTCTTCGACAGTGTATGTTTTTGGGTAGGATTTAGCTTTAAAAAAATATTAATGAGATTGAGATTTTCAGGTGATAAGCAAACAAAGATTCGATGAAATACATAAATTTCTGTGACTAATTTAGGTATTCTGTAGTATCTACATTAGAATAGGTAACCAACACAAAGGTTGGCTATTAAACAATGAACACACAGAGCTACAAACACAATTTAAATTAGGAGAAGCACAGGTGTTGGCTGCAACTTGTGTCTACTGCTCGAGGGTCTAAGATCAGAAGACAGCTGTCTAAGTAGTTACTAGGGTGTAAGTGGTAGCAGGTCATATAATAAGGACTTTAGTCTGCAGTATATACATCATACAACTATATGTCACCACTGTTCTTATCAATAATAAAACTAGACAGAGTCACCTGATCTCATCATTTCTCGCCAATCTTTCCATCGATGAGAGAGCTGTGAAAGACGTGAGTTATAGTGGTGTAGATCAAATGACCTTGAGTATGAACACGATATGGTCTAAATGTGTGATGACAAACAGGCTACCCAAGTCTTGCTTAACCAGTCAGAGATTAGTACTGCATAGTACTGTAGCAATATTTGCAGGAGTCTATACATGCACTCATACTCTTTCAGGTTGACCGCATGAATTTGTCGATAAGTTCGCGTATCTATGCAGTTGTCGGGGTACTCACAGTGTGATGGAATAAATTTCTAACTGTATATTGAAAGCCATAGCAGTGCACAACAACCTAGGCAACCTCTTACACCATTATGACAGTAGTTTTAATATTAAAGATCGAGTGTACAATGGCTAGACCTAGTCAGTTTCGTTATACGCCTCTGAGCAGATGAGCAGCGGCTTTGTGTGTTCCATCTCAATAGGATTATTTGCATTCACTGGTATCTTCATGAAAGTGATTCTGAAGTTAAACGATGTCTTTTAAGACACAACGGGAATGATCTTCCAATGAGTGATGCCATATTACGACGCTGTGGATTGGATGGCCACTGACGTTAGCTATATGCTAACCATTGTGTGACAAGTTGCAAAATAAAGAGATAGTCAACATATGAGGCCTTGCTGAGAGGTGAAAGTAGTTCTGTTAGATTGATAACTGTTAGTGCATTTGAGTATGAAAACAATTTTAGTACATCCATCTATACTTAACCCAGAGCTGTTTAATAGATAATTAATAACCTACTATCCCCTCCTTTTAAATCCTTATAATTACAACCATCAAAAGCCGACCTAAATGAGTCACGCTTATATAATGACGTCAAACAGACAAAGGACAATCAAACAAAGCATACAAACTCACTTTCTAAATCTGTTTTAGGTATAGATAGACTAAATGTTTCTGACATTAATTTCATAGCACGTTGACGATCCTTTGCAAACAATGGTGAGCACATATTCAACAGGTAAAACAAATCACGACATGATCTTGGACCAGCTTCAATTCCCATGAAGGCGCTAGGTATACCATACTTTGACATTTTACTCAAAATTTCTTTCATTATTCTCTCAGAAGTGGCGGAATCATCAAATACCTTGAAAGTAAGGAAAATATAGAACATAGTATAAATTATAAATATAGCGCATAAACCAATGTTACGGGATGTAACAGAGGATCACCAGTGTGGTAGTTGTGCAGCCTCTCTAACTCTGGGGAGAGTTAGAAAAGGTCTGACCCGAAAATCGTGCATCACGACTTGCCTTAACGGCGGTAAGATCTTAACTACAAAACCTACTTCAAACAGGCTGTGTGACCGGCCACATGCTGTTGTTGCCTGGACTCTCAGACACGCAAAACTAATGCCTCTCCTGTTTCAGGCATCCTAGAGAAGAAACCAACTTCTATAATGTATGTGTATCTAGGGTGTGAGTAATAAACACCTACACACACCAGCATAAGTAATTAGTCAAATGAACCGTAGAAATATTCAAAAACTTTTGTGATTATCATAAAATCAACAGTCAGAATCGGAAGAGTATGAGTGGTATTTTATTACTCTAAAATGTGTGTGGAGGTCGGTTGCACTGAGAGCAGGAAACAAAAAATACGAATTTTGTGCAACATTGACGTCAAGTTAGTGGTTATACAAGGTTTAGAAACTTGCCATGTCAGCCACCAAAAGCTTTTTGGAGCTGCTGCAGGCTTCCATCAACAGTTTCCACCTTCAATTGATACCGAAAATTTAGATGACAGGAATTGAAAAAATAGACAAAAATGAACTCCGGCAATGCATCGTACCAGCCTACGACCTACTTATTGTCCAACAAAAACAGAGAGGGAAATTCACATGGATTGTACATACGCTGAGCAGGCTTGCAATTGGTATACACCATGCCAGATCTTAAAGTAGAAACCAAATGGTAAGCGACAGGGTTGGACGTCCAAGGATCGCGTGGAAGAGATCAAGTGACAAGGGAATGAAAGCTTGTAGGCGTTCGTGGAGACGATTGAAAGTGTAGTAATGAATCGAGAACAACAGAGATCTAACAATAAAGCTACATATTCTGAGTGAAACGCAAGAAATGAATAATAATAATAACAATAATAATGAGTCACTCTAGATTGAACTCACTTCGGATATAAGAGCACCAACAAATGCTGAATAATCAGCTGAAAACTCCTTAGCATGCGGATAGGTGAATAATACTGTTAAGAAGTCAGATTCAGCTAACTCCCTGGCGTTTTCATAGCTTGTAAAGCATAAGCGTAGCAGCAATCTGAACATAGCATTTAAACAATCCGATGGAAGAGGTGTTTGCTGATCAGATGATGTAGGCATATTAGTATCAGTGAACGATGACGACAATGAAGCATTTGATTGTGTAGTAGCAGTAGATGGTGTTCTCTTCAATGCACGGAAATGTTGTATTAATGCTTGGCATAGCTTTGAACGTTCTACAGGATTTAAACATTCAGGTACTTCTGTGTTCATTAGGCTAAGTTCATAGGGGGACACTATGAACATATTTTGAGGGGAAAAAGTACGAAAGCAAATAAATATAAGCAAAACTAGTAAAGCAAATTTACTCTGACTTATTCTCAAAGAATTAACGCATACAAAATAAGGTGAGAAGTTTGCACAAAAGTGAACTAATTCAAGTTGCCACACTTTATATAGCAACATATATAATGCTGGAGAGAGAATAATATTCAGGTAAACTATGAAAATTTAATGGATTTTGGAGATCTTAAAGTCTAAATGCATTTGATCCATTGAGAACGATTCTCAGCAGTACCATCGACACTCTACAGCCATTGGTTCACACAGCATCCAGAGATCCCAAACCATACAGTCTACACCTTCTCCAACATGGATGGCTGAAAACTAAGTGTCAAAGACTGATATCACGTTTACCTATGACTAACACACCTCTCTCTTTTCCGGCCTATGTGCTAATTATCTCAGTCAATTTGGCTTCACAACCTCATCGATTGAGTTTCCATCCTTACCTAACACTAAGTTTACCTTATTAATACTCACAATAAATCATACCATTTAACACGAAAGACAGAATAAAAATATCTATGGTCGAAAATAGTTAACCGTTCTATATATCTTCCAATATCAGTAACCACCTCGGACAGCCATAAAAAAAGAGGACAGAGAGGACTACTACGTATGTTGATCGATGGTCGGATATGACGTCTGAGTGAGACGCTACATCGTCGAAGCATCCGCATAAAGAGCCGACATGTCGACAACAGAGGTCGAGCGCTTCGATCTAATCAATATCAGCGGGGAAATCCTAATTGAATTAAATAGAATAGAAACCTTAATTATATAACGTAACACACTTACTCTGATCCGTTGTTGAAGTCTCCGTATTTGTTTCTCCATCCTTTGGAGTAGATGGGAATAGGAGTACTGGACGTCTATGCATACTGACAAGATTGCGTTGTGTCATTGTAGGGAATTCAACAGTATATGGTCTTCGATTAACATCATAGGAGGCGAATAAATCACCTCTATGAAAACGTTTATCGATAACTCGCATACTTTCATTAGCATAAGGATGCCAAAGTACTGCTTGATTATCGAACCAATACCAGTTATGCGAAGAAGCGTATAGTTTAATGCTTTCCTGGCGTAGACGCATAGCCTGTAAGAAAAAGCATGGGAGAGGGAGAGAGAGAAAGGTGAAACACAAATAAGTGCTGAAGTGAATTATCCAAAAACTGTATCTATATCACATAAACGGTTAAATTATACGCACAACCCGTTCAATCTCCGACCTAACTAATCTGAAGGAGAGAATATACAAATTCATTATTCCACAAGAAATTGTTTAGTGTTGTGCTGATGTATTTTTCAAATGTCAGCGGAAATAAATAGCTCTGCTGATTCAGTTTCACCCCCACCAGGAAATTTTATTGGTTTACATATACATATATATAAATCCTTTTAAGTTTCAAAACTACATCAAGAGCTAAAGATATCGTGTCTACAAGTACAATGAAAGCTTCACAGTTAGACGACTCACGGCTCAGAGGACACAATAACATAGTAGTCAAAATATGTGAAGCATAGAATACTAAAAGACCAATAACGGATATTTTACCGACACCAAGGACTTCGATAAATAAGCCCGGCCCCCCCACAAAAAAACTGATTTTAAATACCAAAACACAACAGCCAATTCATGCATTTTACGTCCTAAATGAGTACAGTTCTCGTTTCCGTTAAATATCTGGTAGTTATTCCTCCACATTTTTGGATGAGATATCCTGCATTACTTTGTGGTCATGAAAAAGTATTCGAATATCAACACATCATTCAGCCGGAGATCAGGTGGCCAACCATAAGGGATACATAATGAAGCGCTTTGACAGTGCAGCGAACCAGCTAACAACAATATGCAGGAAGAAATGCAGAACGATTCAGCATAGGCTGAAAAGACACTCAGGAGACAATGAATGCAAGCAACTCGAGTGGAATCCAAATAGGAAGTGACAAGTTCAGAGGCCAAAGGTGATAATAATAGCCTCTTTAAATCACTAGGCTACCAAATTTTATTCCTATCCATCAAAATGCATCATATCTACTGTATTTCACAACAACCTTCATGAATCCTGACGTACTCTCAAGCACATTTTCAAAAAAAGCTACAACCTTATGCAACGGATTTTTCGAAAAAAATGAAAGAGAGAAACTTTACGAAATAAAGAAGTCTGTTTTGAAGGAAACAATAGTGTTCAAAGTGATGCATCACCGATTATTAATATTTCTCAAAGATATTGAACATAGACCGCACAATAGCTAAAGTTGAAAATTCTGTACGGTGTTTAAAACGAACTTCTCAGAATAGGGAAACAAACGTCTGTGGGCATTCGAGAAAACCAGTTGAAAGTGATGTAGCAGGACCGACTACAAAGTCGGTGTGCCAATGCGGTTGTATGCTCCCCTCAGAATACTAGAAGTAAATATTCAAGAAATAATATTGCTATTAATTCACCTGGATACATAAATGACGGTGTTTAATAGATTTTTCTGACCATTTCACTACTTTCTTTAATTCGATTCTCGACTGACGAACTCTTGGACTTCACTTAGCTTACTAGCCAACGGTAAGGGAGGGAGGAAGGCATGAGTCTAACAAACATCAACCTGCAAAGGAAGAAAATCACCTCTACGAAAACTTCGCAGCTTGAAGCACTATGCTCCACAAGGGATGCAGACGAATGAAAAAGCCGGTTTGCATTGCTCCTATATGTACTTATCAGAAAATTTCGTACTGACAGACCTCAGACTTATTACATTACACAGTCCTCAGAAGTTGCATTCGAAACTATTCCTATCCACAACAAAAGTGATTATCCTTCATTTTCAAACTCGCTAGTCATCTCTCTAACCACTAAGTAACATTAAATACAGGCTTACGAAGCTTATTTTAGTGGGGGAAAAAGTTTGAAATATATAAATAACATAACCAACAAGAACAGGTGATTACGATATTGACTGCACTCAATTCATACAGAAATACTAACTATTACAACCACAAGTTTTAAAAATTAGAAAAGGAATTATGCCTACCTGAATGCTTTTTTCATATTGATCCAATATAAGAAAAGCTAAAGTTAACGTTTTATAATAGTCTGTTTTTGATGACGAAACAGAAGATACACCTTGAGAAGAGCCACTTTCCGCATCATTCATCTCCACGCACATGCTATGTCCATGTGAACTACCAACACCAGCATTATCACTGCCGACGACAATCGGTTTACTAATCACTTCAGATTGACAAATAAACTCTATCAGCATACTGGGTAGTTTATAACTCCATGCTAAAGAAGCACACACTGATGGACATCGAGTGAATAAAAGCACAAGTAAGTGTAACCCAACAGTCTGGTGCTCAGTATCACGATTGACAAACTCTGGATTCTCAGAGCTTAACAACAACACATCAGATGGTTTACTGTTGACAGTAGTTGTATTGGGTGAAATACGAAGATATGACGCGAGACTAGAGATGACAACGGCGAATAATTCATTAATATATCGTTCATGTTCACCACTGGATAAGAATAATTCAGCGATTTGATGTAGAATCTACAATTGTAAAACGTGATTAGAAAAGCAAAAGAGAATATATATATATATATAATACATTGATACATCTGTAAATGCATAAACACCAGTCGTAGTATGTAATTCCACATCAATGCGTTTATTGGTTGTATTATACTCAATGGCGCAGATCCATCCTCTCCTTGTGACTTATGATTTCCAATTAAACTGTTTTGTTCTTCTTCATTACTATTCCTTTGTCTCACACCTCTGTTTACTGTCTCTAATATGCATTTCTACTACTTTCTTCTCTTGCTTTGTGTGCTACAAGGAGTGCGACGACTTGAACTGCCGCACATATGTGCAAAATCCTATGTCGAAAACAGATATACTGGATTACAAAATTTCGAACACGATTTATAACTCACATCATCGTATCAACTGTAAATACACACAACTGCGAAACTTGATTTCTATAGTTCTTGCACTTCTTTTCCATTTGTACTAAGGATAGTAGAATTTCCAGACGTATGTGTGGCAAGCTAAGTCATTTCTACAGCTGACTAGACTAGATAAATAAAGCCTCAGTTATCAATCCCACACTCACCACGATGTTACGTCAGATTTTAAGACAGTCACTATGCCCCCCCCCATCTTATTGTGTGAAACTGGATGTAGTGTTATATCTGAGTCTTTTTCTGGCCCTAACCATTGTGCTCCACTAATCTAGTGGACATCGGCGAAATGCTACATTGAACTATTTATTTGAACACGTACCAGATTCAACTGAGAATATGTGCATAGCAGAGGAGAACGAGAATTATTCAAAATGAAGATTTGAAGTTGTGTACATAGAATTGCTACGATTATGAAGAATAAATTGTGCTTCGGTGGCACAGCGGTTAGGACGCTCGCCGACCACCATGCACATGGTCCGGGGTTTGATCCCCGGCCACAGACGCACTCCTTTACCTCGCTAAGCCAGTAATATGATTGGTAAAGAGGGAAGGTTGGGAATGAGGCCAGCAACCCCATCCCGTAAAAATAAACTCGGCTACAGAAACTTCAAGCCTCTGGCTTGAAGCCTTATGTTCCACGGGGAACGTGAAGGAATAAAAAAGTAAATGAAGAATAAATTGCATCCCTCACACTTCGTTACCCAGTGAATAATACTATTTTGAAAAAACAACAGATGGAACGAAGAAATATATTCCTACTCAATTACTTCCTCATCATCGACTCTACACTAATACATAGTTTCTGACATCAAAATTTTTTTACCAATTAAATTAATCAGTTTTAGGCACAAGCGGGAGTGAAATCAAAAGGTTAAAGGTCATCAAAACAAATAACTAATAGATGTTAGTAACAAGATATATAAATTTTAAAAGAGTGAAAATTAATTACGGACTTCAAGATAAGCTAATTCTTATATGCTTTAGCGACAAGTTATTACGTAATCAAGAAATTTGTAAAATAGCAATGATAACTAAGAAGAATAGGATGACTCAGAAGAGTTACGTGAAGTATAAACAAGTTAATAGGATTAGGTAGAATTGTAAAAATTGTTAATTTTTACAGTTTTCATAGTGGGAATTTGGAAAATACTGTAATAAACAAAATTATATGAAACACATAGATTTAATTGATGCCTTTTCGAGGATACACGATCCCAACTGTGAATGTTGTGTGAAAATATATCGACTAAAATAGATAGCAGATATGTTACGCATGGCAAGACACCAGATACCCACCTCCCTACTTAAACGATCAGTATTCGCTGACAAAAAGAGATAAGGGTGGAAAAGAGGTAGGAGTGGTTGGACGTGAGCATGGCAGTAATCCATATAAATTTTCCACTGCTTATTTGAGCTACACATACAGAGGAGGTGCAGATTGTTTCTTTAGAATTCCTGAAGTGCTAAGAATATGAGAGGCTATACACTGTGAGTGACATGTCTGAAAAACGTTTGCTGTAGTCATAGAGATTTTGAATATTTTCTTTATTCTTCAAGTAACTATTCTTTCTCCTCTACACACCATTGATCATTGCAGTTCCATTGTGGTTTCTTTACTCAAAGATATGTGGCGAAATGAAGCGATGCACCTATGAACATTCTTACGCTGAAACTTTAGTTCAGTGTGACTCGACATAAACAAGATACAATACAGCTGTTTCGTTCTAGTCTGCGACTCTTCAGTGATACGCATTAACCGGGGTTGGAACCCAGGACCTTCTGGTTACAAGATGAGCTCGTAGACCCTTGAGCCACTGGGACCCGACCACTGGTCTACGAGATCGCCTAGTAACTAGAAGGTCCTGGGTTCGAACCCCTGCGGCTGCGTACCACTGAAGAGTTCCAAACTAGGACATAACAGCTGCCCAATACTTCCAGGTTTTGCAATAGTTCTCTAACTTATGTCAGCTCATGATGAAATCCTCCAACCAATCACACAAAATTCCTACAAAACCAATACTTGAAGATACAATATAGTTTGAATAATAATAATAACCACCCCTTTAAAATGATCCAATTAAAACACTTACCTGATCTGAATGATGACGTTTAGCTATAGCATAACACGTTTTGAAGACATTTTGTTTCAGTGATTCTCGAGCTTCATTGTACAACTTTTCGTTAAACGGTTCAAGCATAACAAGGGGAAATTTATAGGCAGAAGGTCGCTTTAAATCTTTCAAGTTGAGACTACTATTTGTAGGCAAGGTAACTTCACTACCCGTGATGGTGGGATCGTCTGTATTCATGAGTGTTTCTAAACGATCAATGGTACTTAGCTAAAGGTAAAATGGTATAAAAAATATGAATAATAATAACAATAATATGCTTGAAAACCACTCTGTTGGAAGATAGAGCAAGGTTAAATTACCGAATAACCAACGAGTTTCTAGTGAAATCAAAGTCACAATAATCTACATGATGAGTCTTCGCAGATTAAAGTTTTAATTCCTACATCTTGTCTAAGCCTGAAAATGCTCCTTAGTACACAGGAATTAATTACATTGCCTTCAGCGATAAATTTCTACAAATATACATCCACCACCAGGGGCGACCTGGTGGTGGGTGTATATGACCACTTGTTCACTTCCATCCCCAGGCAAGTGCCATATTACTGCCAACAGGCGACTGGGATATCTCTAGCAAAAGCAACAGGGGGAATCCGAACTTCTGGAGGCTACAACCGAACTGGTGAATGCCCAAGTCTACACCTAGACAAGTTGGAAAACCCTGATTCTAAACATATGATGTACATGAGCTCCGGAATCCGGTTGGATAGAATGCCGTGTGGACCTGAACCTGAAGCATGAGAATTTACCCTCAAATGCTACTTCACTGTGTTATGGATCATATATCAAGTCAAAAACTCCGCGTGTGGTGACTTAAGACAACCACATGCTTCGGCATGAGGGGCTAGGCAGTAACCCAGCCGTCTCACAAACTATGATTTTATGCGTACCGCATCCTTTAGTGCTTATAATGTACCAAATTTGTTTTGTTTTTTTTAAAATAAAATTAATAAATAAATCTGCATCTCATAGCAATCATCACATTACACAAAACAATCACCTTAGAGAGAAAAAGCAACCGCGCTCCAAAAAGTGATAGAGAAAATTTTGGTTATGACTTAAAGAATTGACAATATTAGATACACATTGGTTGAAAGTTGAAACACATTGACCTAAACTACCGACGATTAATGAACACATTACAAATTTGAAATGAAGTTTAGTTACTGTGGAACGGGGATTTGTACACAGGGAGGTGTGGACAGTCTCGAAAACCTAAGAGGTAATGTTTAGAAACTGTTGGTGATATGACTCAAAATCCACTAAACCGTTATCAGTTCGCTTGTTACTATTCATCCTCGCCAACCAAAACATTTCTGCCTATTATATTCCTTTTGAATCTCTTTTGTCTACCTTTGTGTGCTACATGGGGTAATGCAGCTTGGACTGGTACACCCTTGTGCTAATTTCTATTTTTAGACTCAGTAGGTCGGGAGGGTAGGGGAAGGGTTTTAGGGCGCCATTTGCATTTGCAAGCAAGGCAGTCATTTACTAAATGCTAAAACTAATGTCTGCTACCTCATACAAGGTAAAACGATCTTATAGCACACCATATTTGTCAGAAGCAGGAAAATACTTGTATGACATTCTTCGGGAGGTATCCTAACATGCTTCTGGAAAAACACTGTGCATACGCCACGTTAACTGAAAAACACATTGCTGCAGACTGGCAGAAGTTGAAATTGATGGGCTAATGCATCGAGTCCCAGTGGCTGAGTGATCTATGAGATCGCCTCGCAATCGGAAGAATTTAGTTTGAACGCTGATAGTCCCAAACAGGGACAAAACAGCTGTTCAATACTCTCTGGTTCTCCAGTGGTTCATTAACTTACGTCAACTCGTGGTCATTCTGGTATGTTGCTCATGTGTATCATGCTGGTTATAAGTCTACGCGGTTAGAAACGACAATTAGAGACTTCCGGGGATAAGGCAATGAACCAAACATTTCAACGAACACACATCTACATATCATACCTATATCCAAACCTTGATACCCTGTTTACCATTGTAGTACAGCTTTATTTTTGCATGTTAGCTAAGTCCATAATCAACTTTAACAGTATTAACATTACTACGTTTTAGTACATGTTCCCTGTGCCACGATGACGTCTTATTACTGGAATCAATGAATTAATTCAAAATTATACATAAATGTCTTCTTTCTAATGATAAATGTATAGGAGAAAGACTACAACTTACATTGTCAATAAATTCGGTTAGATGTTCATACACGTTAGACTGAATTCCTGTAGTATCCATACTGGTCTCCGATGAAGTGGATTGACTCCCAACACCAACTTCCCCTGCTGTGCCACCACCACCTATCCGATGTCGTTGACTTCTACGAGGTGGTCGAACTCTTCTCAAACCAGCAGCTATAGGTGGAATCGCATTGCGCATTAAGTCCTCTGGAGGAGTCGCTATCATAAGATTTACTGCATCGTTTGTATTCCATCCCGTTTGCTTGAAGGGAAAAGACAGTGAAAAACATAACAATAATGGTGGCAATAAATTGGTAAAAAACACAATCATTTATTGATGGACACCAGTAGGATGAACATATATACATATAGCCGAATTAGTGCCAATGCAATTATGGTAGACACTTGGAATACTGCTTTAAGCCGCCAACTTTCAGTAGATGAGTTCCAGGTTCCAGTCTCGTCTCGCCTCACCTACTTAACAGTCTGGGCAACTGGATAGTTTCGGAAGCCCTTACACACACACACAGATAAGTGTGTGGCATGTAGGCTGGCCTACATGAAAGACCAGTTCCCAGAAACCCAGTCTAATAAATATATTCTATATTATGACAATTAAACACTGAATGCTTACTTCCAAAGCAACCATAGCCAAATCATAATCAAAGCCCATCTCTTCCATCAAACGTAAAGCGTCAGGATCGCGTACACCCTCCTCAACACCATCAATATTATTACTGTCACCATCAGCTAGATATGACTCTTGAGAATCCATAACTTGTGAAGGATTATTATCCACTGAAGACTCTACAGACGAAGCAACTGTCATTTGAATTGCTGCTTGTGACTGGTCTGGCCTTTGGAGTACAGTACGAGGTACAATGAGTGGATTTGCAGTAAGACCAGTCGTAGTAGACGCTGGAGATTGCTGAAATAAGTAAACCAAAAAAAGCCGAAAAGAAAAAAGAAACATCCATGTGATATGAATGCCTTTTTAAATGAAAAGTTGTCGAACAATTACAACATTCTCAAGAGTTAGTTTGCAGAAATTCGACTAGTTCCAAGCTTGATCACAAACTGATTTCAGTTTGGGAGCCGCTAGAAAACCAGGGAGTACTGGATGGCTGCCTCGTCCTAATTTGGCCCTATTCTTTCAGCAATACGCACTCATGAACCCACCAGAGGTTGGACCAAGTACCATTAGATTATCAGAAGATGACGTCGTATACCACACTCAGTCACTAGGATTTAATCCAATGGTCATGAATTCTAATTTCCATCAATTTGAGGATTTAGAGCGACCAACAACAAAAGTCCCCCCCCCCCCGAGAAGTTGTGAAAGCAGGCTATTCAGATTAAGATACCTAGGCTCGCTGACAATTTAGCTACTTGGGCCAGAATTCACTATACTACGAATTCTAACTGTCAATACCTTCAGTGAGCATACATTAACGTTGGTTGTTAACATAATCTATGTTGAAATTAATCCGATTCCCTACAATATCCCATAATTTCAATATCAACCTCCACCACACAGAAGGATATAAGATAGACACCCTGAAGTTGTAGCGAGATGATGCTCTAATCAGTAGAGTCCACCATGTCAAGTTGAAGCGGATACTCATCAACGCCATTGACTGTCGGTAGAGATACATCACGAATTGGCAAAGTTAGAACTCATGAGTCATTTATATCCGGCACAAATGACTGGTCTCCTAATATAAAGGTCCGATCCCTTCTGAAGTAGTGGGGCGCATTGTTTTCGAATGCCAAACAAAGATGAAACAGCTCTGCAGTACTCCCAAGTTTTCAGTGATCTCCAACTGATGTCGGTTCGCGACGAAACCTACGTTGAAGTATAAACTGACTGTTAACACAGGTGTTTAGTCAGAGGTTTACTATTGCTCAGTTCAGGGAATAACGTCCTACACTTATTCACCTGTTTAGGTATAGTTTACACATACAGAATTCCTACTACCCCATCATAGTAGGAAGATATCCCAAAAAGGAAACATTTTGACATATTACACCATGTAAATTACCGTTTCAATCACTATACACATTAAACAAGTTTAGAGGTTACAGTGGTATGACCTGAGATAGACAAGACAAAAAACACAAGTCCACTTACCTCTAAAGATGTGTCAGAGACATCCATGGGTAATTCATTCCGTTGTTCAGTGTTAGGTGGAACATTTGCCTCTGAATCAGTTGTTTCAGATGACTGAATAGGTTGTGCTGTGGAAGACATCTCATCTTCAAGAACACTAGCTAGTGGTTGATTACCAGAGTCAGTGTTGTTCGACTACAGAAACAGAAATAAGAGAGAGGAAAAAGGGTCACTTGAATTCGCAAACCTTCAGCAGTTGGAATTCATGAGTCACCGGATTTCAACCCAGTATACGACCTAGCTTCGTAATCTAAAGGTATTGGATACCTACAGCTAAAGGGAGAAAAACTAGAACGGAACACAGCTGCTCAGCACTGGCTGGCTAATTCTCTATGTTTCTCTAACGGATATTAATGCGTCATCAAACTGGAAACTACTTGAAGCACGTGTGAAAATTCCAAGCGGTAGTTGAGTAGAGATCTATAGTTGTCAATATTCACCCCAATATTTTTCTCTCGTTTCCTTTGATATCTTCAAATGTCTTTTATCTACTTCTGTTTAGTTTATTGGTAAGCTGCCTTTGTGTTTCGTAATTGCATTAATTCAGCCGAAACATTTGACAGATATTGTGACAGACGACATTATTTCGAGGAACACTATGGAACGTTCACTGGACAGCTGCACCGTTTTAACTGACCAGTGAACACTCTCACCCATGAGACTCCACAAGCAATCGAGTCTATGATCGTAAGGTTACCAGATGAGCACGCCAGTATTCAGTCATTAAAAGATTAGAATCCAACAGCCTGTGTATTTCAACCTCATGATATGACGCTACAATTTTCTACTGATGTCATATACCACTACTGGTTATGAAGTGAAGCACATAACAGACATATATTACGAAACACAATCACAACTTACTTTTAAATATAATTGAAAATAATTATCCCGGAGGCTAAAAATCACCGCAAAGTCGATAAGGAAGAAGGAAATCTGTTAATGACGAAAACTTGTGTTTTACGCCTTCTAGAAACAGTCCCCTCCCATCTGAAGGCTAAAAATAGTCGGTTGTCACAACTGTTAGATTTTAAATAGCTTATATGTGACATTAAACCCTGAAACCATTTTCGAACATAGGCTGTTTCAACACTTTACTACATATAGCTACAATTTACCTAATTTTCATTTCAATTATTTTATGCCCATAAAAAGAATGCTAACTGACCACAATGAGTTTCAACATAAAACTTTGCACAGGAGTGCAACAGTTCAAGATGCAACTCCTTACGTAGCACACAAAGATAGAAAAACAGAAAAGGCACATAAGAACTGTTATAAGCAGAAATGTAAGACAGAAGGAGTAGTTACATGGAAGAAGATGACGAATGCTTGGATTTCTATATGACTGGAAATGAGCAGCAGTTATTGTGTAAGTGTTTCTATGTTACTACCTGGCTGACGAAATTCTAGTAGATGGAACGGGATTCAAACCTGTGACTGACTCCATGGAGGAAAGCCAACATATCCTACTCATGTTACCTCCATATCACTTTCGGACCCACATTCTACTCCTCGCTTCCCAGTCGACGACCCGGAGCGTGTTGTCATTCAATGGGTCTTCTCATTGTATGCTCAACAATATAAATTCAAAACGCATGATGCAATAATTGAATAAGAGTCATTTTCTTGGAAGAAAAATAAAAGTACTAGTGCAGACTTACATCAGATGGACGAACAGCACTGGTGGAAGGAGAGTCAGTATCCATGGCAACTTTCTCATTGTTAAATATACATGGTACTACTGTAACCAACATACTGAGTAAATGTTCAACAGCCTTTCGACTGAGTAAATCCTGATAAAAATTATTATAAAAACAAATGATAACATCAGCATGTAATGAGATTTACCGAAGCAATCAAGATTTAACGCGTTGTAAAAAAAATACATATAATACTTTGATTGAACACTAGACAGTAACAAATATCATGTGTTTAATTCTTCGTGTTGCGATAAACTGAATTCCACCAGTCATGTTTGCAGTCTGGCCACCATGTTAGGTGGTTCACAATTACGGTACACTCCAAATGGTAGTTGTTAGATGGTTGAAAGAAGCCCGGCAGGATGAGATTTGGACTTAGCTTTCGTGCTTGTTGACAATCGTGAGCAAGGAGCACTTGCATTCTTGAAGAAAGTCAAATTCACTCTGAGATTTGAACCTGGGTCACCCAGTGGTGTAGTCGGAGACGTTACCACTGAGCTATTTCGGGTCCTGATTAACCTCCTCATATAGGACTGTAATGGACACTTTGATTGGACATCAGGAAGTAACTAAAGTCATGCGTCTAGCCCTTGGTGTTGGTGCAGTCTTAATTTTATTAGTTACAGGATTTCATCATGAGCTGACATTGGTTAGAGAACCATTGGAAAACCTGGGAGTAGTGGACAGCTGTCTGGTCCTAGTCTGGGACTCTTCATCAGTACGCACCCACCAACGGGGCTCGAACCCAAGACCTTCTGGTTACAAGGCGAGCTAGCTCGTAGACCATTAAGCCACCGGGACCCGATCCAATGGCCCATGAATTCTAACTTCTGCCAATTCACGACATAGCGCGACCACTAGCCAATGTCTTCGGCGAGTATTTGTCCTCACACCTGACCTGCTGCACCCTACTCAATTTTATTAGTCGAGATTACATATATAAGATGCCAGTACCAGTTGTCTGGAAAATAACTCAATTCATCAGCATCGTCGGCACGATAGAAAAGCACACTACAGTAATAACAGAATCAACTCGAAATTGCAAAAGGAACTGTGTGATTTAAATCTCCTAGTAGAGAGAGTATCAACGGAAATCAAATAATCCGCCATTTTTAAAAGTTCTCTTAGTAAATATCAAATGTATATTGATTCAACATATTTTTCATAGAAATTCATACAACACAGGCAAGAAATAATACAAGCATTAAAAAAAAGTAAATTACCTGTAAATCTGTACGAGAGCATAACTGTGCAAGTGCTGGTAGCATGCACTGGTGAACACGTGTAGTAATTTTTGCCACATTAACATTATTGGCATCAATATCATTTGCTCGTGAAGCCTCTGAATTAAATCCAGCACAAAATTTTGTACTACTCATATGATCGGCACAGACAAGCCATTCTTCTAAGACCATCGACAGTGGTTCTGCAGTAATATAGTGGAATAAAAGAAAAGGATTGGTTTAAAGGGATTTGATTGGCTTTAAGCTGCCTGATCACGAAATGACACTAGTTAGAGAAAACACTACAAATTATCAAGGGGTATTGAATAGCCGTTTCTTCGTAGGTGGCGACTTTTCACCACCAGTCACCAGTCACAAGGCGAGCACGTCAACTATTCAGTTACTAGGACAGATTGCAATGCTCCATGAATTCTAGCTTATGCCAATCCGTGATATATATGTAGCCATTGAGACACTGTCAATGGCAAATATTTGCTCTCACACCCAACTCGTCACTAGAAATCCAGGCAACTACAACTTGTCACAACTCAGTCACTAGTGAGCATCGAATCGCCTTCAAAGTACTCTTCGCAGGTCAGAACAACTGTTCCCTACCTCCTAATTTTTATTGCTTCTCCAAGTTATGCCAGTTCACTATCAAACTTGAAATTAAGATGATTATTTTTCAAAACATGGATAACAGAAATGAAAGGGAATCTTGTGATCAATGAAACACTACTCGAATGTTAGTCAATATGTCATGTTGACTTGTAGGATGGGGAGAAATTGTCGTAATTGAAAAAAGCTATACAATTTGACTAGTGTAGAAACTTAATTACAAGCCTAGTTAGTGTACACGTCTCGACAATCAAAAGAGGGCCTAGATAAGGTGATAACTGTATACAATATATTTAGGTCAACGAATAAAGGCCTGATTGTAAGAGGCGTGTCGCTAAATCATTCAAAATGCAGAGAATTATGAACGAACTAGAATTTGGACACACATATATTTCAATGTATTGAGTTACCAAGCAATAATGTCAGTTGATTCCAGTCCAAATTAAGCATGGTTTTTCACTTGTATTAACGACTTTCTAGATGAATGGCTAAACACGCTGATAAGCAAATTACAAAGCTGATTATATCGAAATTTTAAAAAAACAACTAACTTCGAATCGACGGATCATCCAAATCAAAACTAATCAGTTGACGGAATAATCTGTAATAAAACGTAAAGAAGCGACACTTAAGACATATGAAGTAACACGACAGGAAATTGAAAGCATTGCAATTTTAGTAGTATAATACACATGGAAGTTCCTCTCAAAACTTTAAACGGACACATTACAATCGCTAAGAAACTTGAATGATCAAATTATCCCTCTGTAGGTGAATGGCCCAGTGGTAGTGAAAATGAGAATAAGCCTAATGCTCACTACCAAACTTCTGGACACGTATAACTAATCTAGGAAGGTTGAAAAATTGCGATTCAAACTTAGGGTAACTCGGGCGAACCAAGATCTGAAACCAACAGACAGCATACGAACTTGTTCCGCATACTGTGAAGCATGCAAATGCATCTAATGACGTAAATCTGATGTGTCATTTGTATGAATTTAAGTCAACGGTTAGAAGAATAATCCCTTCAAACAAATACCTGCTTCAATCTGGGTGCCTAAGCAACAGATCAGCTCTCAATGTAAAATTGTGCGACAGTCTACACATCCCTAATTGACTAGCTCAAATGAACTGTCAGAGACTTCATAGATTGATGCAACGTTTTGTTCTGACCACTCCTAACTTTCCAATCAGATAACACTGACCGTCGAGAAAGGCGATGGGTCAGCATAGGGATCACGTGCCCTAGCCATCTCTGTTGATTCGCTTCATAGTCATTATCGAATCTGAAACTTCTGTTGAGTGAATTCGCTAAAATAAGTGGCCAGAATCAATATGTTTTGTATCAAACAGCATTAGACAAAGGGTTTATAGGCACAGATGAAGATCCTATAACATTAGCTGAACACCTTCCCTGAACTTTTAGAGGTAGAGTTAGATGACTATCGACCTATTACCTGAGACTTATCCACGCGAAACCTTTGCCCTTAGTGCCACTAGAGACTAACTGACTTAGTGGTTTCAACGTAGAACTTTGCACAGATGTGCAACAGTCCTATTTGCTAAATTCCCTCCATGTACCACACAAACCAACAGAAGAGACTAAAATCAAAAGAGAGATAATGAACAGAAGTGTGATGGAAAAACAATAGTAATATGGAAGAACAATAGAATTTAATTTGATATTATAAATCACAAATAGTGAATGTATCTGCGCTAGCCATTGAGAACGAGGATTTTGAGCCATATCACTGAATGTCTCCAGTCACTGGTTCTTACCATCCCGAGAAACCTAACCAGGAAGTTTGCACCCCTCTACGTGGCTCAAACTAACTGTTGTGGATTTCATTGACTGGTCAAGCCATGTTTTACCTTAACCACCACTAGCTCCTTTCCAACCTGCTCCATCCCATGTTAGCTAACATTGCCTGTCGAGGAAGGTGATGTCCAGGCCGTACGTAACACATGTGCTAACCATCTCAAGTGATGTAACTTCACAACCTCTTCGATCAATTTCCCCTCTTTACTTTAAACTCGACGTCTAACATCGATATTGCTCACCCTATTATACCATTTCACACGGAGATAGAACGCAGGCACCAATGATCGGAAACAGCTAGACAGGCTTTTCATGTCTTACACTTTCAATGGCCATGTCTCATTCACAGCCATGAAGGAGTACGGAGTGGACTGCTGCGCACTACACACGCCCTTTGGTCAACAGTCAGTCAGATATCACGTCTAATCTACTGACTTCCAAGAGAACACCAACAATTGGTCTCTCAGAAAACAAGAAACCCCTGTCGGTGATACAGGCTATTGCTGTAGTAGAATAAAAGCCCTGATATAATACAGATAAGCAAGTACAAACGCTGAAGTTAATGAAGTGAGGATAACACACCAAAACTCATTTGTTGTAACAAGTCAAAAGGTCTATATTTAACTAACACTCATGTCTGTTAATCATATGGACGCAGAAATAACTTACCCAAAATAAAGATTTATTCCATTCAGCTTATAGAAGGCATTAATCATGCCCAAGTCAGAATCTCTTTGACTAGAATCATGCAACAATAGATTAGTCAACTGAATCGATGCATAACGAATAGCATAATTTAATGATGCGGCTGCTTTATGACTACGACTCGTTGATGCCGGTTCCCAGGTGTATGCATGCGAAAGAATATCGGCTACTTGAATTAAAGCCGGCAATCTCATTTCAGGGTGGATTGAATCATTTGAAAACAGTGAAGTTCGCCGACGTCTATAGTTGACCTGTGGACGATTTGAAAAGAATCTACCTAAAGCGGTGAACAATTCTGTAACAGAGTTCACAAGAAACGCTGTCACGTGTAATATCCGATTGAGTGGTTTGACAAGGTCTAAAAGCGTAAAGATTTTTTTCAAAAAAAAGAAAAGATAAAATTAAAATACATCCAAATTTGCTAAAAAAAATTGTGCAATAATGATGAAACATTTGTGTATGTAACTTCAATGATCAAAGAAAAAGAAAAAATAACCAACCTGGATGTCTGTATATAAACGTTGATTGATAGTCGGTAGTAGGCAAAACCGACTGTTTGATCAGTGAATACATATGCAAGGCTTCAACAAACCGAGGCATTGGTTCGATAGGTGGTTTGTTCAACATGCTAGGATTTGGATGTTGCTGAGATACATACATTTGAGATGTTTTTGTTTCACTTGGCAACAGATCAGATTCATTAATATCTTTATCACCAAACAGAACTTTTAAAATGATGGCAGCTTCCCAAGAAACTCCTAAATATAGGTGCCTAGAAATCATCCAACAGAGAGAAAACAGATACTCATATTAGATAGCATGAATGTTCTTCAAAATACCTACAGATTACAATGATATGTGATCATGGGTAACTGTAGTAAAAGTTAGAAGGGGACAACTGTAAAAGACTACACAAGTACGTAAACAGACGGGCATAGAAATGAACCAAATGGCTATTGGTTGCACATCACAATCCTAGTACATTTTAAGTGATGAAAGCCAGACACTCGGTAACTATCTGATGAAACGATCCCACTGAAAGGATAAGTATGACGACTTAGCTGTATACATTAACAAACCTAAAAAGAAATAGGCATCGCATTAATTCGTAATTCATTCACATATACATATTACTTTTAGTGAGTCGGTGATTCAGAGGTGGACTGTTTACCCACCATGCATGTAATCCGGGATTCAATTCCAGGCTCACGTACTTGTGAACTTCACTTATTCGGTATTAGGCCCGGTAAATAGGGAACGTTGGGTGGGAGACTAACAACTCCACACTGTAAAAACACCACTGCTACAGAAACAGCAAAGCTTAGGCTTGAAGCGCTATGTTTCTCTCCAAATCTAAAGAAATGGAAAAAAACTTGCTTTTGAAGATTTCAAAAATGCACTGTTTCGTCCTGGCTCATAACTCTTCAGCATTACACACACATGAATTCATTTGAAATTGGACTCAAGAGGTTCAGGTGACCTGACAGACCTGTTGAACTTGACGGGTTCATGTCCTGGTCGACAGAACTTTAATCCCTGTCTAGTTTACTAGTTTGCCGGTGAAGCCAGAAAAGAGGGACAGTTGAGGGAGGTGTTAGCAATTTCACCCCATAAAAGCAACATCTGCGCTAACGAAAATTCTCTCGGGATGCGAAAGAACAAAGAAGAAGAAGGGGTGATGGAGAAAATTCAGAGCTACCGATGGGGAGGGGGGGGGCGCGACAGACGCAGCTTCACATGAATTTCGGAAGAATTCATTGGATACCTGGTGACCTTTTAAACGACCTTTTGTTTAGAGTTTGTCATTATTTGGTGTAGAAATGAAACTTTGTCGAGAATAAAGGGTCTTCACGGTAAATCAAATATGATGAATGGTTATCGGTATTCAGATGTCAGTTTCAGTGGGAGCTTGTGTGTGTGTGCATTTGAGTAATTCAGTTTTTTACCTGAGTAGCAATCACTCAGGTAAACAATAACAACACTCGTGAGATCGATAAATCAATCAGTTAGTACCAGTCCAGTGTAGTTTATCTTATCGATCAAAATTAACTAGTCAGTTAAACTAGGCTGACACAATCAATTTGACATTAAGAGAATATTTTAACAACGAAGACTTGTTATTTGTGATAAATTCATTGCCTAATATGCAAATTATTCAGTTGTGTAAATCTTTTAATGTCAATTTATTCATGTCAATTTCACTCAATTGATGAGTTGAAATCAATTTTTAGTTTAAAAAACTAAAGCGGGTGGGAAATTTATTACAAGTCAGTTGATTCTGATATTTTTTAAAAAAATGATTCAAAATGCACTTTATTTCAATTCTGAACACTCATCACACACAGAAAACAATGAATCAATATTTACTATAGTTGATGCATACAAGACAGAATTACAGAAAAAACTTGTCAACTGGTAATAAGTCAGTAGCATAGCTTGAAGTTCAATACAAAATCACACTTTCTTGGATTTCTCGAGTTCCTTTCTAGTAGGACATAGGGTTTCAAACTTGGATTTTTCAGTAGAAGTTGGATGCTGCCAACCTAACGCTCAACCTTTCCACTTTTCCAGGATGCATACCGCCTAGACATAGAGAGGACTCGAGCTAAGCACTTGTGTGTGTGCGTCGGTGCCATAGCGATAGGATGCTCGCTAACAACGCCACAGGTAGTCCAGGGTTCGATCCCCATCCACAGACGCATTCCTTTACCTCGCTAAGCCAATATTAGGACTGGTGAAGAGGAAAGGTTGGGTATGGCGCTAGCGACCCCATCCCGTAAAAATAAATACCACTGCTACCGAAACTCTAAAGCTCTAGACTGAAGCCCTATGTTCGAATGGGAACGTAAAGGAATAAAAAAACGCACGGGTTACGATTTCAACGGCCGGGAATCCAACCGGAACCTCCATTATGGCTGGCTGGCAAGCAGATTGTGAATCTGAATTCTTGTAAGAGGATGATTTTTGTACGCAACCAGTAAATATGCTCAGGTGAGGCGAAGTTTTGTCGTGAAATAAAAATCATACATGACCAGACCATTTCCTACAAGATTCTTTATCTTACTTTGAAGTTACAGTAGTGACAAGGTTTTTACTTAGGAAAATTGATTGTTCGAGAGACAAGACACACTGAGGCATCAAGTGGGATGAAGCAACGCCTTGGGCATCTAAGGGTGACGTGAAGATCATATGAAGGGAGAAATGAAAGCGTGTGGACAATCGTGAAGACAGTTGAGTGGGATGGTAGGGAACCGATCGCCACTGAAGCCCTATTTTTCACTCATGTGGCAAGGAGTGAACAATAATAATAAATAATAATAATAATACAAAGAAATAACCTTTGTCCTCTCTTTAGAAACTTACCCTAATGTGTATAAACAATTCTGTTGTAACCATACAGAAGCTAACGATGTGTGGAACACAGGTTTAATATGCTGTATCATTTGTACTAGAATGCAGATTACAGAAGCTAATATCACCAACTCGTGGAGCATTTCGTGTTCCCCAGATAGATATTCACGTAGAAGTATGGAAGTCATCGGATAATTGGAGGTGTGTAGTGAACACAATTTCTCCATTGACGACTCTAAACACTGATGAACAAAATTTTAAAAGCAAAATATTGATGAAATAGTGTGTGAAGTGATAGGAGATCAATAAAAACACGACAAGTGAGCACTACTCGTAACAATTGCATTAAATTGATAACCTGGGTCCCGTAGCTCAGTTGATGTAGAGCACTAATATTAGTAACTTGGGGTCAACATGGTTTGATTTATACGGCGACTCAGTTTATCGTTTTTACCCTTCCATTATGTAGATAACTGACTGCTTATCCAAGATTATCTTATAAAATTTCACTATCGAATATGTATTTGCAATAATCTCAGTCAGCCAATCCCAGTTAGCATGCACTTGCAATCCCATCTCAGTGGAAACGATGGCTGGTTGTACTGGTTCGGTGTGCCTAGTATAGGGTTCGAACACCCATGAAGCACATGTTGGTTGGAAGTCGACTAATTTTCTTTTCACCATAAATCTAAGTCCATTCTTCAAAACCACATGATGATTTGTCAAATTCCGCAACAAAGATAATATCTCACCATCTGAAAGATAAACTCTGAGAATCGATCGCTTGAGTGCATTGTAATACTGTTATAACTCCTTTATTTAAATGAAATTTTAGATTTTCCCGTCGATTGATTGAATTGAAGTGCTCGGTCTCAGGTTGACATGTCGATTTTTTGTGCAGGTGTTTCAACGATGTCTGAGTATGTAATTAGAAGTTAATTGTTGGATAGTTTACTAGCAGCTGGCGAGCCCCGTACAGGACGAAATGCGCGTCCTGGATTGCACTGGTAGCCATCATCCTCCAGATAAACTTGTTTTAACTCCGTTGCCAATTTGTTATAACTGAACTGAATAAACCGTCGCTTTTTTGTTATGTCTGTGCCTGTTAATTACTATAACGCTAATGAACTCAACTGCTACGCTAATACTTCTATTTGTCCGTTGTACCTTCCGATTAACTGAGTCATGCGAATATCAAAAGACAAAGGCTGGCCTGTGACTGTAAGGTAATATATTATACTGTACTATACTACTACATAGTCTAAGAAACAACACATGATATTTAAACATTTTCTTAACCATAATAAAGTCGGCTCACGACCGTGAGAATGTATTGTTCTTATTGGCTGGTGATCACACAAAGATCACGGTGAGACTAAAGAAGATGAATTGGTCACACGCTAAATCACAATATGCGTGGGAAATGATACATCGACATAGTAACCCATCACATGAGAAATCACACGATTCGTGAGAGGGGATAACATACTATTTTATGCTGGGTCCTATCAAATACACAGTAATTTGATGTTAGGCTTTGGAGCACAGTCAAATAGCAACGTCTTTTGAACTTACATCCCGTGTCTCTTTGATCCTATGATCAGAATATTGAGAAAAATTATTCCTTCACACACCCCCACACACACACCGTTCGAATCTGCATCATTAACTCAGAATGTATTCACTACTAATGTATCTATGGTTAACTAGCCCGGCATATCATATTGACGTTGATTAGTTAACTAGCTGGAATTTATATTCGATTATGAGTTACACTTGATTTGTAATGTCACTGGCTAACTGTTAAGGCGTGATTCGATCCTCAGACTAATTGACCGTAATGGGTAGGTCAAGGCGATAAGCCACTAACTTCTCTCCTATTGGATATGATAAGTTAATCTACAAAAAGATTTTCCAAAGAGTCAATTAAAGGTGAAGTGACATAATATCAGATTTTTTCAAAAAGAAAAACTGTACACTTACTTGAAATAACGGTTTTGTCACTTCATTTAAATCTACAGAATTTGCTAGATCTTCAAAAATCTTACACAACGAAGCACAAGTTGCAGAAACTGGAAAATCGTACGGTAGGCCAGGCATACGAAGTAGATCACAGAGGACTTGTAGGCCACCTTGACTAACAAACTGTGGACACATTGTCTGTGTAGTGTGTGATACAAATACTAACGGCTTCTCAAGAAATTTACACTAAAATGAAAATAACAGTAATAAAATTCTTTTTGAAGCATACGCGCAGACCGCATTGTGAATATACAGAGGCTAAATAGAGTATGCTAGCAAATGAATAAGGACAGTGGATTTACATGACTCTACATGAGATTTCCAATACTAGTAGTAGTATAGAGAAGAGAAGAATCTGATTTTTCTTCTGACTCATATAAAGAGTAGCAAATCTCGGTTGATTTTTATTGTTTAGTTATTCAGACCTAATATGTAAAGGTATCTACTCTACAGTTTCAGCTAGCAGAGGGATACATATGTCAAAGAGGAGTTCTGACGATTATTCAAAATGTGCTTGTTACTAAGTATTAAAAAAGACATGAAGACCTAGCATGAATATGACTGACTTTACTACACCATAGAGAAAGTATTTTGACATTGTGTATTCCCGAGGAGAAACAACCATCACAACATGAAAATCAGTTTGTCTGATGATAATTGGGCACATCTCTAAGTAAGAAATATTGAATTTATGTAGATTTCATACATAAAGTGAAGGCATAGCAAAAGAATAACATGCGCTAAACACTGTGGACTACGCCTTCAACTTTTAGTTTACTTGTAAGTAACTTATATGAAGAACAATGGCTTGTTGGTTCAGGTATTCAACTATAGGCTAGTTGATAGCACGCCTGAACTCCGCACAGTACACACCGACTTCTGGACAGTTAAATAGCATTGCTGATCTACAAGGCAGAATACATGGAACACTGGATTCCGTTTCAGTGGCTGAATAGCCAACTAGCTCTGCTCAGCTCGCAACCACCTCAAAGTGATGGGTTCAATCGATAATACAGTTAAAGGTGTTAGTTGCTGAAGAGTGCCAAACTAGCGATCGCCTCACTCGATGGGCAATGTTAGCTGTCATAAGATCAGGCTGGAAAAGAGCTATACTAGTTGGGGTCCTAGGAATAGTATAAGCCAGTGGCTGGAGACGTTCGGTGATATGGTTTAAAATCCTTGTTTTCAATGGCTGGCGCAGATGCATTCACTCTTAACGATTTATAATATCCAATAAAATTCTATTGTTCTTCCATATTACTATTATTTTCGCCTCATTATCCTATTTATCTCTCTCTCTCTTGATTCTCTTTTTACTGTCCTCTCTTGCTTTGTGTACTACATAGAGTGTGGCAACTCGAACTGATTCACGCCTTGAAACTCAAACTAGGACCAGAAACAGCGGTCTAAAGGCAATTACTGGTAACAACGATACCTTATAAACATATATAAGACATAACTCTCTATATAACTAGCCTGGAAGTATGCTGCGTGTGAGTAAGTCATCACGTATTCATAGGGCAAATCAATTTTAGAGTTATTTAGAACATTTCAAAGGAACAACACTTTCAGTAGGATAGATAACTGTAACATAAAATTAAGTAATATACACCTTTTCCTTAAAAAAATAAACCTGGAATACTCACCATATTTAGCATATAGTCGGATAAAAACATGTTTGGTGATACAGGGAGACATTCTGTACGACTTTTGTTAGAGGTGTCTTCTGTGACTGACACTCTTCTACAATCGACAGACGTTTCTAAACTGACCATGGGTATCACGCTATCGGAGGCAATGCTTCCAGCTTGTACAGTAGCAGAACGAGTATTCGTTTGCCTGTCTTGATTAACATCACTATCACTGTTGTAGTCATCATCGTCATCTTCACCGCCGGACAGCATAACTGCATCATCTTCAGCCGCAGCAAGAGAACGTTGGATACTACTCAAACTTAAAGGAGCATCTGTGCTAGGCGGCTGACTAGTACTCGCTGAAGACCCCTGTACCGATTGTTGTGGTTCACTGGCATCAGCTGTTGACATAGGCCAACTGGAACCATCAGTACTTCGTGTGGAATCTGACACTAAGCTTGAATGACTAGGACCACCACATGACATACTTTCAGATATTAATGTTGCTGGTGTTTTGCCAAGATTCACAACATGACGTAGACACTGAAAGAAAATAAGCAAATAAAACAAAATGGGATTCAATCAAATGAAATGTTATCCAATAGCTGTGTTTAATTCGTTATTCAGTGGAAATATGAATAGCATAAGGAAGTGACAGTACCTGTGATGACAAACTCTGATTACCTTAAGAAAAAGCCTCGAAAATATCTGTATGACCAGCTGGATATTACTATTTCCTTGGGTTCCACTAAGTGGGATTTATAGTTTCAGCAAAACATCTTGAATTCACTCTGTTTACAGCAGTCTCTTTTAGCAGGATCTACGATGGCCTACAAGCTTTCCTTTTTTTCTTCACACGACCTCCACTATATCGTTCGCGAAGCCACACCCAAATCGCCATTTCCTATGCACTTTGCCCTTTAAGGTCTAGAGTGTGACTTCACCCAACGGTCTCTTCGGAGAATGCCCAATCAATCTCCATTTCCTCCTACACATTAGTTAGGCAATAAGTTCTTGGTTGGTTGGTTGCCAGAATTCTTTGTTACCCATCCTTTTTGACCACCTGATCATCAGTATGGAGCGGAATGAGCTAATGAAGAGAATCTTTAGCTGGCTGTTGTAAGTGTTTTTGATGACGGGCACGTCACATCCCTGAAGCAATAGATATTCACATCTACTGCAAAGTAGTAAATGCCTGTCTTGTTGTCCTCATACTAATTGCCTTTGACATCCTCATAAGTGCTAACCGTAGTTCAAACGACGTTGCGCTAGTCAGATAAGTGAAAGACATGACTTCATTCATATCCCCCCCCCGTTGATGCTTGTCTCCCCATGTACGGTCTGTTGCATGATCCATTCCACCATAATCAGAAAGGTCATCGTCAGTGATAGTATGCAGCCTTTTCTTACTCATGTCCACATTTCAAAGGCTTTGCTAAACCTTCTATTGTGAATCGATTGAAATGTGACGTCATCACTTAGCTGTTGAATGGGGTTAATAAAGATTTTGGGCACTCTATGGAGTTGAAGTAGCTTCCAAACTATTTCACCACTAACTGTATCGAAAGCCTTTTCATAGTCGATGAAGTCGAGGTAGAGTTGACAGCCGTTCTATACTCTGGTCTCTGATGATGTGCAGTGTTGCAATTTGATCCGCAGACGATTTGATTCCCTTGAATCTAGCTTGTCTTGGGAGGCATTTCGCCTTGACAGCATCTTATAGTTTTTCCCGGATGATACTAACTAATATTTCGCTTGGAAATGGACAGCAGCACTATTCCACGCCAAATTTTGCAACAAAGCAGTCCTTCATCCAATCGGTAATCCCCTCTCCTCATATACCTTCTGTATAAGTGGATATTATTCGTGCTTAATCAACAATGCTCAGAGGATATGACAAATGATAATAGAGGTTTTTGTTCCCCCAATTTAAAGCAACTACAACCAACAGAATCGGCTCACCTCAAAAACTCACAGACAATTATGAAATGAATATAAAGGATCAGATTACTTGTTAGAAAAGTCATTTCAAGTTTATATATATATATATATATATATAAGACAAATATTTGAACTATCACTTACAGAAATTGCATATTTAGAAACAACAGGTTTCAATTCTGAATGCGATCGAAGTAATTCATGAACAGCATTACTCATTTGACTAGCTGTCAAACTGTTTGACAAATTCTGTCCCATACTGCAATGCATATCATACGGTATTTGTGACATAAAGTCACGAACACGCTTAGTTTTCATTGTTGACAAATATTCTGGTGAAACTAAAGTGTTCAGATAACGACCAATTACACCACTTGATAGAATTGCTTCAATACCCCGAGAATTCAATGCCAAAGTATTTAATAGTGCTGGTAATTGTACAAGAAAATCACGATTTTGCGGCAGTGGTTGTTCCGTTAGAGCTTTCAAAATATCTGTTGTAATATTTTTATCCTAGAGGTTGAGAGGAAAAAAAGATTTTAGATACTTGTATCAACAACAAATCACTAGCAAGCACTTTTTTGTTTAATGATACAATCAAACAGAAGTACAGTTGAAGTCTTGAAAATTCACTTCAGAACCAGTTAACAAGTGACAGTTATGGATAGCAGCTTATTATACGTGATTACGAGACAAAAAACAATCTAGTCACCAAAGCATACTCAGAGTGGTGTATCTTAGGCATATAGAATCCAGGTATGAGTTAAATTTCTTTTGTGTCAAGTAGATAAGAATGCGATGTGCACGGCCTAATAACAATGTCTGTCTGTCTGTTTTCCACATAGAACTTTGCACATATGTGCGGCAGTTCAAGTCACCACACTCCATATAGCACACAAAGCAAGAGAAAGTAGAAAAAATGCACAGTAAAGAGGTGTGAGACAAAGGAATAGTAATAACGAAGAACGATATAGTTTCATTGGGTATTATAAGTCACAAGTAGTGGATGCATCTGCACTAGCCATTGAGAACGATTTTGAGCTATATCACCGATTTCCCCCAGCCATTGGTTTAACCGTCCCGAGGACCCCAACCAGGAAGTCTACACCTTCCTACGTGGCCTAGACTAACTGTTGTAGATTTCACTGACTGGTGTCATGTTTTGGTTTGACCACTGCTAGCTCTTTTCCAGCCTGACCCTATGTCAGCTAACATTGCCCGTCGAGGAAGGCGATGACTAGGCATACGTAACACATGTCCTAACCATCTCAGTCGATGTAGCTTCACAGTCTCGTTGATTGATTTCCCCTCCTTACCTAGCACTCGACGCCTAACCTCAATATTCCTCACCTTATCATTCCACTAATAACAATGTGCGATCTCATAAACAGCCTGTTACTGCCATCATGGGAGTACTTCCGTATTCCTATCAAAATGCTCTCATGAGGCCAAGCGTTCATCGCCTCTGACACGTAAGTCCTACTCACTGCCTTTGCAAAGGCGACGGTTCCCCACAGAAAGTGAAATGGTGAATAGAAATGTCGGGCACTTACAACCAGATTGGTGGACAAGCAAGTCTGACTAAGGGAGCTATAAAACCCTGATTTCAAACACATGGTGTACATAGGCTGCAGAATCTGATAACATCGAATGGTGTAGTATGAGCTAGCTTTGGATACAGGAAACTACGAGAAAGTAAGTAGTTCTACTGCCGTGTACATCAGACTTTAAAGTCAAAGGCTTGGAAAACGGCTTCTTAAGACAATCAACTGCTTTTTCAATATGGGTACAGGAGTAGTATATCCAAGCCCTTACACATAAACTACGCGACTATAATAAATGATACTGTGTAGTTGCCCACGCTGTCATTTTAAGAAACCTGACAGTCTCAAATCAACGTTTAATTTAAGATATCAAAAGTACATATGAATACCTTTTTTTAAACAAAACAATCATTCGTCTAGACCACTTATAATGACTGCGCCCTCTTATTATTCTCTAACATAATGCATGGAATTCCCAACTGATGGGTGGTAGACGAGTTATATTATTTTTAGTTTTATAATGAAGTAGTATTTAACTACCACACATACATACATACACACATAGAGACATCGAGAAATGGCTTATTCTCCTCCCATTTGAGTAGAACACATGATGCTTTATTTAGACATCTACTACTAGTTCACAAAAAGTGTGCATGTCCCACATGAACATACACACATACTCACACACCGGTTCTGTATTAATCAACCATTAGTAAGTAGGACAACAATAACAAAGACGATGCTGTTTATCTTCATATATATACACAATATCACACAAATCATGTGACGATATAGCAGAACTGAAATACTACCACTACTCATCATATCTACTTATGTTTTAAGTATGAGAAAAGCGACAGGCAACAACAAATAGAACACATAGTGAGTGAGAGGCTTAGCGAGTCACATGTGTAATGAATGTGTTAGATCAATAAATAAAGTAGCGAACCGTTAAGTCTCCTGACTTACTGTTATTCTGCTTACTCCACCACTACTTTACGACCTACCTATCCCCAATATATCGATAAAAAAACAAATATATCATTATTACTATTGAACTAGAAGGCCAACACACACACACACACATGCTGAAAGTACTAGTGTATATGTTTATATTTGTCGCTAGGATGATTTAAGCTCCAAAAATGGAAATATTCAGAATGACACCACATTCTGCATAATCGATAATATACAGAAACTTCTGGCCTCTTGAATATAGTGTTGATAATATTGAAGATTACTGTTGTGATGATTGCAGACAGTTTGTTTACTTCTCTTGGTTAATCATACTACAGACTCTTTGTTGCATTCCCTTGCATTCTCAGTGGAACGATAAAACTTCAGATTTCGTTAACGGTAATGGGTTTTTTTCAACGCAATGGAGTTGCTGGTCACATATCCAACCTTCCCCCCCCTTTGCCTCGCTTACTACCAGTTAGATGGGTTTTAGAGGGTGCATAGACCTGACACTGAACCTGGAACACATGGGCGGGGGGGCTAAGGGTCACATCAAAGACCGTGCTATTTATTTATTTATTGCAAATTCATCACGATATATATAGTTGAATCAAGAATCCTCAGAAAGCATGCAATTCTAATTGTGAAAAGTAAATCTTTGCATTATTCGATGATATTACTGGCACTTTATAGTGTTAGTTCTACTCTTGCCTTTTTAAGGCTAATCAATCAACTATAGGCAGACAGTAATTAGTCTGAATTTTAGGAAAAAAGTACTCAAGAACGATGAAGTACTTTTAACTCAACACAATAATAATAATAATAATAATAATAATAATAATTGAGCTATAAACACCCACATGACAAATATGCACAGTGAAATAGAAACTTATCTATTGATTTTTAACTACTGAAGTGCTCATAAAGTAGTCAGTTAGTCTAATATCTGTCCCAGTATATCAGAAACAAGCTGAAAGCATTACTGATATATACATATAAATGGTAATTGATTATGTGAATCACATGTTTTCCAGTTTTCCAATGTAAAATACATAAGAAGCTTACACTGAAGCTTGCATTTAGCTTAAATAAAGATGTTAGGAAAGATGATTTCAGCACAAACAGAGACCTGGGCAACTAGATGGCTGTCTTCTTATTTTAAGGATAGGAAACAGCATACTGTTTTGGTTGGAAAACGCTTCACTTCTCAACTAACTGAAAGTGGTGTGCCTCAAGGTGCAGTACATTCTCCATTTCTTTTCTCTTTCTTTTCGCATGACCTTCCGAACTCACCCAAAGTTAACTTCATTAAGTATGCTGATGATCTGACCGTTTCTGTCCCTGTAGTTTCCACATCGGATTGTTCCCATATGAATGGCTTCTTAGCTGAAGTTAAGGATTGGTCTGGCTCAAATGGTCTTAAACTCAATCTAACTAAATGTAATACTGTTGATTTCAGCTTGAGAAGTGAAAAAGACATGCATGGATTGATCCAATCTCATGATTGTTGTAATATTGATGGTACCATGATAGAGAGTAAGTTAAGTGTTTCTTATCTTGGCATTAGTTTCTCTTCAAACCTTTGCTGGTCGTCTCATATTCTTATAGTTTCTAAGAAAGTTTTTTGTCTGACTTATTACATACAGAAGTTGAGGCACTCAGGTATGACCCATAGAGAATATTTATAACCACGTTGTTTAATCATGCCTTATTAAATTCGCATTCACTTCGTCAAGTTTGATAGAGTGTACCCGAAAAAGCTCTTAATTTCTTCCACTGGAAGAACACATTAAGAATCATAAATATTCAATACTAATCTAAAAGAGCATGCATATCCAAAATCGCGATATGACTCATCCACTTAAGAACTTGACTTTCAACCGCTGAGTCCTGGGGTTCAAACACCCCTAACTCAACTACTTCACTCAACGCAACACACATACACACAAAGTAAGTGCCACGTTTATTCCGGTATCTGATACATCTGTTACGGGCAACGGATTTCTAACAGCATCCAGTAGTGACAATGCATGAATACTGGTATACAACTTGGTGCGTAAAAAGAGAATGCTCAAAGGAGAAGTGGTTTATTTTCCTGACTGCTTTTGCTTTAACGACACATAAACCTATAACAAATCACCCAGCCCATTACTTTATCGCTACCTTATACAACTATGTATTATTATAGACATATTAGCATCTTTTAAGTCATCATAGTCACAGAATATTGACGGTGGACTGTCAGACTAGAAAAATCAAAAAACATACAATAGTCAACGAAAACCATACTAAATTGCTACTGATCTTCAAAATCACTTCTGTCATACACATATGCACACTGCTAATGAAGTTTCGAGTGTGCACTCACCAACATATTTGATCACAATTCGCTTTCGGATAGCTACTCTCAGCAATAACAAGTATGTAAAAACAATTCATGCAGCAATAGTAATTTAAATGAAAAGCAGAGACATTTCATGTGAAACACAGTCAGAAAAGAGATTCTTTTATCTAACTAATAATCATCCTGAGGTGAACTCAAGTTGTTAACCAAGGGAATCCCCTGAAACGACCTAATACCACGGCTAAGGGTGGGCAATTCCGGTTTTCTTCTTGAAATGCTCTTATGAAGCCAAGCGTTCATAGCCTCTGACAGGCGAGTCCTATTCACTACCTTCATTCAGGATATTCCTCATAAAAATTAAAGTGAGAATCCAAGTGTCTGGTTGGCACTTACAACGCGGTTCGCGGACATGCAGGTCTACCTAGGATAGCTGGAAAACCCTGATTCTTAAGTTATAGGCTCCAGAATCCATAAAGACCGAATGGCATATGAACACGTTTTGGTCATCGGTAACCATTGGAAACGCTGCTTCACCCCTTGTCAATCAGACTTCAACTCGAAGGTTCGGTGGGGGCCCTCTTGAGACAACCACCTGCTTGGATCTGGGAGTCTGGGTAGTAGTATCCCAGCGCACGCACAAACTATGAGATTTTGTCTGGCGAATCTCTTGGCGCTCATAATGTACCAAGTTTGTTTTAAAATAACCAAGTGCCTACACTGTGTGCTGTTGACAAAAATGCACAGAAAGAAACCGAAAAGTCCTTTGATGGCAATAAACTAGTCAATGTCAGCAACTGTTCATTACAAGTGATTAGTGATTAGGCTTCGAATTAGGACTACATTTATACCAAAAGCATTTTTTAAGAAAAAGCTGGCAGTAGTGTTTTCTTTTCTTTTCCCGTAAATTATCACTTCCTCAAGCGTATCAGAGACCTGCTGGTTAGGAAAAGAGGTTAGACCAAAATATTTTACTCCCATTTCCCTGGAAAAGAGCTAGGCAGCCCTTAAATGCCTTTATGAAGCATTGAAAAAAATTAAAATAAAGATCAACAAAATAGTTTACACTCACTGGAAGGCAACAAATAGTCATAGTAATACACTTAAAATGTGCAATAAACGATTTGTGAAGTTTAAACTGTGAACAAATAGTAACTAACTGCAAACAGCTTTATTTACCTGCATAGCTGATATGCGAGATGGGTAGGTATACAAATAGTTAGTAATTGTTTCCATGGCAAAAAGTGATAGATGTGGAGTAAAATGACTGGAACCATTAAGGAAAATCTGACGTAAAACATTGGGAAGGTTATCATCCATAACTGAGTGCAACACTTCACCCCATTCTGAGTCCAAGCAAAGACGTTTGAGTAGATTGAGTATAGATTTCATGAGACCAGAACGCTGTGTATTCAAAGGTTGTTCACCATCAGAGTGATCCGATTTCTGTTGGATAAACATTGTTTTTTGGTAAAACAAAAACCGACATGGAAAGATTTAGAAGAAAAAAAGTGGATTAAGCTACATTTAATGTATTCAAGTGACAACTATGACTACTAACGTTATTTTATATGGCAATATAAAAAATGACTGATCGCATTTAAACAAAACACTTAGCACAAAATTGTAGCACTTCAAGTTATCATACTCCATGTAGCACACAAAGGTAGGAATAAGAAGTGAAATTCAAGAGAACTATACTCAGCAGAAATGTATGGTAAAAAGAACAATAAAATGGAAGAACATGAGGGTTTAGTGGATATGAGAAATTATAAAGATTGATACACCTGCACCATTGAGAAGAAATTTGTGACATATCATTAAAAGTCTCAGGTCACTAAGGATCCCTACCAAGCAATCTACACCTCCCTAGGAGCTTGGCCCAAACCAACACTCAGACACTATATGGAGTGTAGTCGCCTGACAACACCCAACATTTTCCAGACCAATCCAATGTCAGATAACACCGCTCGATGGTGAAGGTGGTGGCCTAACATGTGTAACACGTGCCCTAATCGATGTAGCGTTACAGCCTGATCGATTGAATTCCCTTCTTAACCTACTACTCTAAGCCTTACTTCAATATTTTTCATAGTGCAAAATCCCTCAGTAGTCACATAAAGTAAGACTCATGCTAAATGAATGGATAGAATTCGAATCCTTACACTATATCTGGACAACACTTGCGAATCTATGTGGTAGTGGGGTTAGGGATGCTTCAGATGAGAGGCATCACTGCTCTTTGACCATCATTATAACATAAATTTGATAATATACTTACACGACCACAGTGAAATAATGCTTCATTGACCAATTCAATAAACATATTACTATCGACAGCTACGTCAAACCTTAACTCATTTCACCATTTTGTAAATTTATCAAGATTTAATTTAAATCCACAAACTATTAAGTTATAAGCTAACTGATCATATGTCAGAGTTACTTCCATTCAAAACGAACATCATCATAAACACGTGTATATTCACGGATAAGTCTGAAAACTATTTAGGTATGACATTTTCAAAATAAAAATAGCTTTAAAATAACTTACATCTGCAGACGTTGATGCACCTTGAAGAACAACTCCCACTTCATAACTCAGTCTGTCAACCAAAATACCAACAACATGTTGACGACTTGAAGAAATACTCATCAAGATTTGATCAGTCACACGGACAGCTCTGGTGACATAGCTTAAATAATCATTATGTGGTGAATGCCAGGAGATAAGCTGCATCATTGTGTCCAAGACACCACTAGAGCTAAGCGGTGCATTCTGTGTATTTCCTAAATTTCGAATGGCAATAATTATATATAAGATAAATGCATTTACCTGGACCCACGTTCTCTTCATAACAAGCTAAGTGATATAAGAAAGACAATAAAGCAGTTGTGAAATGCTGATTTGTACTTCCAGCAGGAGCTTTAATAGAACCATCTACAAGTCCTTGGACCCACTTTCTAGTCAGATTAGGTAAAATACCATGATAACTGGATAATCCAGTGGATCCAACCAACGAACCCCAACTGGAAATGAAAAGAAGAAGAACATCGGAAATAACTCGTTAGTGGGATAATAACAATTTAACTGTGTTGACCCTAACGTTTGGACACGCCAAAGTACTACCATTGGTTACGACTTCTGCCACTTCATCATTTTGAGACTTTCGTCTTGCTTTTTAAAACCCTGCATTAGATATGAGATGTAAAAAACTTAATTCAATGAATTAATCAGTGAGGTTTCACATTGGTTCGACCAATTACTTCTGAAAATGTTCTCGGTTATCTTTCCTACTCACCGACATTTCCTACTTTCGTTATATTTCAATACTGACCACTTTGTTTTCTCTCTTGTTTCCCTCTGCTAACATTGTTACACTTTTTGGTGTGGTTGTGTTCTCTGAGCTGGATGGTTTGGTTGCTCATCCAGCTCGGAGAACACAACCACACCAAAATCATCCACCTGAGCTACAAATCTTCTCTATTATTGTTACACTTACATGTTGGTGTCAAAAGTCGCAATTTGTAGCAATTCACAAATACGGTAGATCTTGTACTTATTGTCAAGACTTTGTAATCTACATTATTACCGCTTAGAACATGACTGTCAGCTGTTGCTATTCATTTAAATTCTCATGCAGGTTGCCTAAACCTTCACTGATATTTAGTCATTCTATTTAACTCAAAACTTTAATACAGCTGAACTGTCTCCATCCTGAAAGTTGCTACAGTTAACAGATAACGAATGATGATGGTGAATCAAGACTATAAAAATTTTTTTTAACTGTTTAGAGGCATGAACATTTTGTACAATTAAATTGCTAGTTCAACTTACTTTATGCCCCACCGATGAGAATTAACTATAGCAGTCAATGTTCGGAGAGCACATGCTTTGATGCCCATATACTGACCATCTGGTAAGCCAAGTACTTCAACAAGTTCATCTAACAAGCTAGGATACAGATAACGTTCGTCGACTTCGAAAGTATATGCTTTTAAAACAAAAAAAGAAGGCATGATATTCAGTTCAAGTATCTGAAGCATTATATTAAAATCTGCTAGAACACCGTCCAAACTCAAAAACAAAAGAAACTAACATACAGAAAAGCCTATAGCCTCAGCTGAATACAATTACTGCGTCATGAGTTCTAAGAGTTTCAATGAAGTCATCAAAACATTTAAAAGCTCATACTTAAAATAGAAGCAGGTGTGGACAAGCCATATTTTACATTTGATAGGGATGAACTACCCATCAACCATACTCATTTTTGCTTGTTTAGAAGACATTTGCTTATTAAAAACAAAACCAAGAGAGACGATACACAAAAATAATGCAACCTCATATAAGGAAAATAATAATAGCTTTATTCCAAACAGTATTTGTGGTACAGGTATGGAATTTTCAGCGTGCATTACAATATTGCATCTAATTACCTCATAAATTTTATAAGATTTCAAAATAAAAAGCAACAACAACAAAGAGAAAAAAGATAAATAAAAGAAATAAAAAACAACAGCATTGCATTTACATTTTAAACAATGCACCACAGGATATGAAATATAAAATTAGTGTTTAATAGAATATGTGAACAACAATATAATAGTAACAAAGAAAGGAGAACAGAAGCTAGTGGGAACTATTTGTTAGAGTGCCGCAGTAAGTTGATCGTGTCATACCTAACAGATTTCTCATCACATAACATCTGTGCCAGATAAGGTATTGTGGAGTTTTTGTACTTGGTAGTCCTAGCATATAACCTCCTGTAGTTGCTTCTAGTTCTACCAGATGAAATGCAAGGAGAGAGCTGCGTATAGAGAGGATGCTCGGGGTCTGACAATATAGTATTCGCTAGTTTCTTATACGACATTATATGTCTATCCACAATGGTGTTAACCAGTTGGTTTGACGAAATCCCACTTCCCCTACTAACAGCTTTTAGTGCCCTACGCAGCGAAGCAAAGTCTTTCTTAAGTAGTCCAGGAAAGATTAATGGGGAGCAGTAAAGAGGGATGGGCAGAATACAAGAATTGACAAACTGAGAAAGCAAAGACTGCTTTATACCAGACTGCCTTAACTTCCTAACGTAGAAAGTTAAGCGAAACATCTTTCTAGTAACTAGCAACATGTGAGAGGACCAGGAAAGATCGGAGGAAATACTGAGTCCAAGGTACTTGACACTAGATGTAATTTCAACCTCTATGCCGTCAATGATAGTGGGACCATGTAAGCTAGCTAGTTGTTGTAGGTCACGTTTTCGTCTAAAAGTGAAATTTACTACCTGACATTTAGACAGATTCAGCTTAAGACCGTTTGAAGAGGACCACTGACAAATTTCCGACAGCAAGTTATTTGGTTTGGAACAATCAGACTGGCTACACTTTTGTCAAGTATGCTGATGACCTGATAGGGACAGAATAAACGAGAGGTCATCCAGAGAACAAATAGGCATTTTTCTGAAATCACTGAACATTCACCACCTCAGATTATTTCCAGAAAGGGAAGAAAGAAGGATATTGCAGTATGTTCGACACTGACTGCGATCTCTGGTTATGTCTGATAACGTCTCGAGCCACCGATTCAAATCATTTCTCTGAACTTATCTAGGGAGTAGTAATGTACAAAAAGATGGTAACCTAGTAGCTACCCCTGACGCCACGGTGCCACGTCATAGGCTGGCCACCTCTCCGTATTTTCCATCCAGTCCCAGGACTTGTGGACGGCAAGTCGTATCGAGGCCTATGGAGCACATGACTCCACCACCAAAGCCAGTGTTTCAAGGTGACCGCCGGGTCCTAACATGTTCTCACCTCAAGTGATAAGATACAACATCGTCATCTGTAATTTAAGTAAGCAAGTCTCCACCCTGGCAGCACGTCATTTCTCTAGATGTCGAAGTCTACGTCACATCCACAATTGTAAGCAATTAAATTAGATGAGCATAGTGAAATAAAGCATCTCTGATGGATAAAAATGGTTGCCATAGCCTCAAATGACATTTCATAAGCTCTAACATGGTTGCATTGGTTACAGTAGTGTACCATGATTAGCACTGCATACTTCTCCAGTATATCCTTCACAAGTATACATTGCATATTCCAAACAAGATGTATGGCAACATCACCGGTGGAAACTTACATCCCCAGTATTGGAGTGAAGATTAAATCAGTACACTTCTGGTTTAACGTTAGGACGACTAAGGCTGCAATGTTTTATTTTATTCAAAACGTAAACTTAGTATAAATAAAGGTACCAAGAGATGTACCACACAAAAATGAAAACGTCAACACAAGGAGAGAACAGAATAACAAAGGGATAGCATGAAAACATGCACACTTATTAAGAACACACAAAGGAGAGTTCATAGCATCACATTACTTTCAGAAAAAGAAAGAAAGGGGGAAATCGCAACATGCTGTTCATCAGTTTCGTTCCTGAGCCACATCTGATAACATCTCGAGCCGTTGAGTAGCATAATCTCTAGGACACAACCTGGGAAATGCTAACCCAATACAAATTTCCCTCACCTCACAGTGACGAATTATAGACTAAGCACTCCTATAGTTTCCACCTAGTCCCAGAGCTAGCAAACCGTGAGCGGTATGCGAGCAGCCGGAATGGAATCCGTAGCACATTTCCTAGCCAACAAAGCTGGGATATCATTTTGAAGGTGCAGCTAGTGATTACCCTTACCACCCGGAGGTGTAGTAGCTGGTCTTAATTTCGCTTTGATACTTGGTAACAGCAGCAGGTAATACCAGTCTGCTTACGTCAACCTGCTGAGGACGACATTTATGATCACCAAACCACAAGACAAACCTCACATTCCCTAAAACATCATCGGAATCAAGACAATTACTTCGGAAGCAACGGCGGCTCTGTATGCGTACCCACCACCGGTAGCCGATAGCAATATGGACTGAGTGGTTTCAGCGTAAAACTTTGCACAGATGTGCAGCAGTTCAAGTTGCCACACTCCATGTAGCACACACAGTAAGAGTAGAGCATAAAGAGAGGAAATAAACAGAAATATTAAGCGAAATGAATAGATTTTATTGAACATTATAAATCACAAAGAGTGAATACATCTGCGCCATTGAGAACCATCTTGAGCTATATCACTGTCTCCAGACTTAAATAACAGGGGGACGACCCTGAGAAGCACATCACTAAGATGGCAGTATTACTTCCAGATAGCTTGTGACCTTCGCAAGGCTGCAGAAGAGAGTAGCGGTAATCTGGCCTGCGACCACTTAGTTCCCGATAACTACCTAAGCCAGTGCCTTTTTGTCCTAGACGCTGAACCTGTACACACAGGTTTCCAGGCAGTACTACGATATCTATCGAATACAAGTGGTCGAAGATAGAACTCATCCTTAATTGTGTCTGGGCTGTAGTTGGTCAGCGCTTAAGTAGAGATTAGAAGAGGAAAATAATAATAGCAACAAGAGAATGCCCAGCTTTGAGGAAGAAAGATGAGAGTCCAATGAGAAATATGCCTGAGGTCGAACATACGCTGCTTATTTAAGTGGGGTTTTGTACATTGATAAAAGCATTACTACCTCCTAAGGATCGCCACAGGGTAATTTGAACTGTCATATTAGAGAATAGTCTTATTGAACCGGAGATGTACTGGACTACCTAAGAGGAAGACCTCCATCCACTCATGTTGGATTATTAACATCCTGTGTTGTTATTGTAAACATTCAAATTAATGATAAAGAACGAAATAACGGCTAATGATGCAAGCTATGTGAAGTTTATGTGAAATATACATGAGCTTACACAAAATAGATAGCGCTTGCAGTCTAGCGCGTATACATTTATGCCGTTGCGTAGGCTCTGAAAAGTAGGTTGCTAGTCGAACTCGAGAGAAAAGAGCCATTTGACGAGATACAGGTACTGGATGTTGAGCCAACAGTTCTTCCATTATTTCTGATGGCGACTGGTTTCTGCGATGGAGAGCCTGAAGGACAATAGTTCCCAAAGTATTTGAAGACGTCGATTGGTCGTCTGGATTTTGATGGGCTGACGACCGACCACCGTGGTCTGGTCTGTATTCGAAATAAACATTTCCAGCAGTCTCTGGGAACTAACAGAACCATAAGATGTTTTGAAAACTTACATGCTTTGGGTCACAACATTCGGCAAGTCCAAATCCATTTTCCACTCCACCCCAAGTCTAATATTCAGAGTTTATAAAATACTCGTACTTACTTCAGCAATTGAGACCAAACGTTCAAGAATCATCTGCTTATTTGTGGAATCAAGCCTGATGAAGAAATTGCTCCGCTTGCTATACGTATATTTACAAAATATCAACAACAGTTACCTAAAGTTGTAGGACAATCCAAGAACAGCAAGTAGAACGTCAAGATTAGACGAACCAAACAGAGCAAGAATATGAGGCCAAGAGCCGTACAGGTAACGGTAGATGCTGTGTTCAATCAAGTGACCCGTAAACTCCAAAATAGTTACAACCTTATCGACAAGAGAAGAGTTCCCTGGTGTATCAAGACGCAACATCCACTTCCCTGTTTTTGTCACCGCATTTTCCAGAATTGCATCTAATCTATCTAAAACATCGGCCCAGAGGCCGAGTTCACACTTCCCATAGTTCCAAACATTTATCTGCTTTAATTCTGATATTAGCACATCATCTGAACATGCTGACAAGTGCTTAGCAAGCAACATGCATTCATTCTGGTCATAACCACACCTATTTACTATCTTTTTTCTGTCAATTTTCATCTCAGCAGAAGCGGAAAGTCTTTTTGATAATTTTTAGGCGATGTTCATTTGCACTAAATGACTACTTGAATTGCTGGGATAGTTAAATTCAAACGTCTACAACAACCGAAAAGAATCACGATTGTAATAAAATACAAATAAGGCGCCTGGGAAAACAGTGTCTTTAAACATTATTGTCTGTCAAATGGAAGTAACGAAATAAGCATTCCTTTGATTTTAATTCTAAGACACCTGAAATAAATTTATGTGGAAGTTGCTATGCTTCTTATTTTATTTCGGTTATCTGAGTGGAACATTTTAAAATTTGAACATTTCTAATTTCTGCTTTTGTTCTACTTATCACCTAAAAAACCTAGTCATCGAAAAAGGATACACTTTAGCAGCTTAACTTAGGAATCTTTATCACAAGTAAGATTACTATGACCTCTTTCTACATTCAAAGCTGTAAGGGAATTAAACTTATGGCAGTCGGTGGGAACCTGTGAGCCTCACCAAACGTTTCTGAAGCAGCTGAGAGTAATTATGCCAGGCCTACCGCCTGCGAGTTCCCGAAGTGGCCTTCACGCAAAGATTAATGTCACTCAACTTTACCCATGCAGTAGTCATTTCTGTTCGCTGGATTGGAACCAAGAGTTGCCTTTCATACCACAGGACTATTCATCCTGTATACGTCATAACTAGTATGTAGAAAATAATAATGAAGAAATCTGTCGTAGCTGGCCAAGGAAGACATAACTTGTTCTATACTGCATAGTATGACTTCCGTGGGAACACCAGGATAACATGGGCCCTGTAGTTGTAGTTAGCAAGTTATGGCTAAGGATTTGACGAGATGACACACTCAACTGGTGATCAGAGTGATAGGTTTCAAACTCAGTGGCAGCCTGCTGACTTAAAATGTTCAGTCGGGGAAAGAAACAGGTAAACTATCCGACTGTCCAAACTATCTTCGTATATGACAGCAAAAAACTACTTCAGTTTACTCTACCTTGTCATATGGTCGTTTTTCCCACCAACAACGGTACCTATTATTTGCTTTCTAGCAGATATTTCGAATTAATTAGATGGAAGCATGCAAACTAATATTATCAAAATGCTGATGCGTGGCAGATTCCCTTGAAGAAAGAGAGGTGACTCAAACGAGTTTCAATCTATTAGGATTTTTTAGTTAATATTTATTATGAGACTTTCACCAGTTATCTGCTTTGAGGCAAATCTTGTGTTCACAGCCTGGCAGTTGAAGAAAACTACTTTGCACCGACTAGCCTTTCTCACTTACCCCAACACTGACAACCATTTCAAAAATGGATCAAAGACATGAATTAGGAGTTATCCACCCTGTGGTTTCAATCCATGGTGTCTGTCAGCTGAGCGAAATCAAATCGCGGGACAAATATTCCTGGCCGTCTCTCGTATATCATAGTACATCGCGCCTCGTTCGAAGTTTGTCGTTTTTTTCCGCGTGGTTTTCGTTTTTATTATTCTTTCTAGTACTCCCACTTTTCAGGATATATCCTTAGTGTCACCGATTACTAATACAAATAGCAATATTTGTGTTATATCTGGACTTACCTTTGTAGTCACTGGATATTATCCTTGCTACTTTTACTGTTTCAGATTACTGATTAAGGTATTACCACATCGAGCATCTGACTCTCAGTGCCCATATTACTCTTGTCTTTTGTTTTGAGATAAAATCAAACAACCTAAGTCTCATATACTTGCAGTCCGACAGTTCTGTTTTAAATTTATACAAAATGCCAGTTAAGCTATCGAAGCGTCGTGCTTCATTATCGGCTGGAAACTTCAGCAAAAGACATAAATCTAGCAAGCCTAAACAGCATGGTACTACACTTTCCCCTGATCTGACACAGGTGCTAAATATGTCAAAATCGGAAATCATTACCTCTTCACCTTCTTGCGTTATAAATGATTTTATCAGGGATATTTGCAATAGTACAGGTTGTGAGCCAAGCATTTTGGATTCCTACCAAGCCACACTGGCTGTTAATAAAAAGTCTGACACCGGCTGCTCTGATGTGGTTGAATCTACACCCTCCATTTGCCCTACTCAGGACTGTCAGTCAGAATGTCCGAACATACATGTGGCCTCACTATCATCTATACATACTAATATCAAATCTTTTGACTGTGTCAAAAGAAATGTTAACTCCCCCAAATGCTTAGTAACCTTAGACGTTGACCTTGATAATCATTGCAATACACAGGCAGATTTACTGTCACCTAGTTCCATTCAACTGGATGCTTTTGAGCAGGCTACACATATGCCGGCACAGGGGGCAGATTGCAGCACCACCGCTACTCTTAACGATAAAGCCCCCCATCGCAAAAATTTCCATCGGTCATCAGTGACCTATGGACACCAACCTAATGCCAAATATGAAAAAACAAATTGCTCCTCGCCTACGCAAAACACATCTAACCAAGCCAATAGCCTGTAAAGCACAAACATCCTTCCGTTAGTCCATGATCTCTTACCCCTTAGGTATCTGATAAAGCCTGCTGACTATCCTGACTATGATACGCTACAGTCTTGTTAGAGAATTATAGATCATATTTCCACGGAAGTGATCAAACGGGTTCAGTGCATGTATAATGCAATTGTTTTCAATGTGCCCGACAGTGCGAACATTAAAACGCACTTTTAAAGGCATGCGAAATACCAGATTCCCATTGTACCTGCAAACGACTACGTAAATCTTCAGCTAATACATCTTGTCCAATAATGTTCGAGTTTAATAGCATTGTGGATGCTAGTCGCTATGTAAATAACCAGCATCTCTTTAGGAAAGCAAGTAGCTTTAAAAATTTACGTATTATTCACGACAGGACACCAATCCAGCGTCGTGCCAAACAAAGTATCCCAGCAGATGAAATAAATCACCAGTGGATACAACCGGCCCCACTGATGTCAATACAAAACACCACCTAAACCTCAAAAGAAGCTCTCCACCTAGTTACCCTAAAATGAAGCTTGATATGGTTACCAATACTAAATCTAGTATTTCTCCAGTTGTTAAACAACCTGAAAAGCACTCAATTGCTGCAAAAGATATCAATAAAAATCTCACCCGCCATGCTAGAACTATTGAAAACCCTTGTAATATCTTCACATCTAGCTCTAAGATTCCGAATAAAAATGTAAGGAACAAAATTCCTATGCCTGCCACACATTCCGTCAAACCTGATTCAGCGTTTCCTATTACTCATACGCTTAAACCTCTTAAAAGGACGTCTATGGTATCAAATAGAACTGACATTAGTCAACCTATCTCATTCTCTTTTCCTCACCATTTTAATACAACCAATTGCAGCTACCCAACTTCTATGAGGTTGCGTAATACCAAATATAACTATGCCCATATTCCTGGTGCACAGCCACATGGACTCAATCGCCTAAACTTTCAGCATAGCCTGCTTGGGGATCCACCCAGTAAATGCTACTACCCCAGAAACACACTCCCCCGACACCAAAACCGTCTTTACAACTTTCCAACTAGTCAATCCCCTCACCATTTTTTCTCTTTTCCGCACCCGGCAGTAATGCCACCAATCAACCTGATGTCAAACAGTCTGTTTCCTTACTCTCAAATGTGCCCTCTTCAGACACCCAAGATACCCCAGTTTCCGTATGCCTATCTCCATGCGATCGTGAACTGAGTGATCAACCATGGAAACCATCTTCTTTTTCACAGAACCTTAACGGAAACGATGAAGGCTTTATGGACCGAACACTCGATGTACCGGTCAGACTGTCATCTAATTTTCATTTAACCTCAGCTGAATCACATCATCATCTCCTTCATGATCAAAGATCATTTACTCTTTTCCTTATAAACGCTCGTTCTATCTGCAATAAAATTCCGTACCTTCACTCCTTACTTTCACTTTGTATGCCCTCAGTACTGTTAGTCACTGAGACCTGGTTACCATCTGACTTCAATGACAGACTGTTAGAATCACCAGGATACACACACTTTAGACATGGCAGAGAAGAAGGACGTGGTGGTGGTTGTCTTATCTTTGTTAGCAACAAATTCCACGCTGTAGAAGTTGATGATTTGGGTTGCTCACTTACAGACGCAGTATGGGTTACACTCAACACTAACTTAAATAACAGACTTTTATTGGGATGTATATACCGCCCGCCCAATTCTGATACTAACACAACGAACCATTTGTGTGAAATTTTCGAACACGTCTCCTCTCTAAACTTTGACTATAAAATAATAGCTGGCGACTGCCTCGTATCCAGTGGAATAGGCTAAATGTTTCTAAATACACTGATCGTTTTATAAATTCGGTTGAATTCTATGGATGGACACAAAATGTGAATCACCCCACACGTAAATCCAACATCTTGGATCTAATCTTCACACAAAACATCCTTCCCGTCAGCACTCGAGTTGGGCCTTTAATCCTTGGTAGTGACCACAACACGGTCATTTCCACCTTTAACCTAGCAGCAAATGGGTTAGGCAAAGGCCGTCGTCGGACAGTAAAAGTCAGGGACTTTTCAAAGGCTAAGTGGGAAACAACGCGGTCTTCTATTCGTTGCCAAGACTGGGATACCGTTTTCTCCTCGGTAGACATTGATACTGTCCTTGACAGTTTCTACTCCAACATTTCAGTTTGCTTCAACGAATCTATCCCTTGGCATACATCCAAAGGCAACCGTGTAAATCAACTATGTATACCGATTGCTACCAGGAACAAGCCAAGAAGACTCCGTAAAACCTATAATAAATCTATGG